GTGGCCTTCGGGGATCTTCAGACCCGGGTCAATCCAGACCCAGGTCAGCAGGAAACCAAAAAACTGCAGTGCTGGAAAAAAAAACTACAACGCAGGTCTTCGCAGACCCGGGTCGGCCAATATGCGCGGCCGCCTCGCGGCCGCGAGCGGCTCGCTGACCCGGGTCAGCCAGAGGGGGTCTTCGCAGGATCCTGCAGGCGCCGGTGCCCTGGCCGACCCCCGCTTGCCTTGACCCCCGTCTCGAGGCCCCGAGAGGCCCGGGACACCCGCGGCGCCCGGGGACCTCTCTCCCCGACGGCCCGCGCCGGCCCGCGCCGGCCCGCCAGCTGCCTCTGCGCCCCCCCCCCCCGCCCGGCGAGCACGGCGGTGTCCCTCCGTCGGCTACGCGCAGGGGTGCCCCTATAGGCCTGGGTCGGGCATGTCCTCCTATAGAGGCGGACTTCGGAGGAAATAGGAAACATACAAACATACTCACAAATGAACACAACAAAACAGAAGACATACATCGTCCCAATAATCCGCCGACCCCTTGGGGATCATCGGCGTGTGAGATGCTTCCCCCTCCCCAAACCCTTCCCCAGGGAGCCCGGTCCGGTCGATTTGGAGGGGGGGGGGGGGTCCGGGACGAGCGCAGCACGGCCGGGACGAGCGGTTCACGGGGCTTTTCCGGGCCCAAGAGGGCCTCAAGACGGGCCAAGAAGCCCCCAAGAGGCCTCCAAGACGGCCCACGAAGGCCCCGAGACGCCAAACGACCGCTCCAAGACGCCCAAGATGGCCCCAAGACGGGCCAAGAGGTCTCCAAGACGGCCCCCGAGGTCCCAAACAAGCCTCCCAAGAGGGCCCCAAGAGTCTAAAATTGTTGATTTTCCATTGTGTTTTTCGATGTTTTTTGCTTTTCCGCCTTTTCGGCTTCCCGACGCTCCAAGACGGCCAAAGAGGCCCCAAAGACAGCCCCAAGATGGCCCAAGAGGCCCCCAAGACGGCCTCCAGACGGCCCAAGACGGCCCCAACACGGCCCAAGAGGTCCCCAAGACGGCCCAAGAGGGCTCCAAGACGGCACCAAGAGGGGCCCAAGAGGGCGACCAAACATGTTGAAACTCTAGCTTTCTGCCCCCAGGAGCCCCAGGGGGCCCCAAGAGTGCCCCAAGAGGCCCCCAGAGGCCCTCACGAGGCCGCCCAGACGCCCCAAGGAACCCCCAAGAAGCACCCCAGAGGCTCCGAAACGGCCCCCAAGTGGCTCCAAAACTCGCTTCCAGAGGCCCCCGAGAAGCGATCCGCGAGATCCCGATACACATACAAGAAGCCTCTCACCCATAACCCATAACCCAGAGCCGTTTCTCCGTGTCCCCCTTCTCCTCCTCCTCCTTTTCCTCCACCTGGGCCCCCAAGTGGTTCCAAACTGCCTGCCATAGGCCCCCGAGAGGTGTGCCGCGAGATCCCGATACACATACAAGACGCCTCTAACCCATAACCCATAACCCAGAGCCGTTTCTCCGTGTCCCCCTTCTCCTCCTCCTCCTTTTCCTCCTCCGCAGAGTGGGGGATGGACTCCGGCCCCTGCCCCGCTGCCTCCTCCCCCCCTCAGCCTCTCCGCTTCGGCGGCGGGCCGGGGCGGTGGACTCGGGCCTGCTCCCCTGCTCTCCCCGTCATCCCCCGGGTGGCGCGGCGGAGCAGCTCCGCGCGAAGGGCCGCTCGGGAGCACGCCCCCGCACGGGGCGGGGCCGTCCGCGAGGAGAGGCGGGCGCTGCGGTCGCGGGGCCCAGGGGCTGCGAGTGCGACGGCGAGCACGCTGCGGGGACCCCGGCGCCCTCTCCCACCGTCGGCTCCAGCGATGCACTGGGCGCTGCCCGTGCAACACTTCGTGCACCGCGCCGCAGCAGTCGCGTGCCACGGCACGCGACATGCACACGATTCGCGAGCGGTTGGCGCCTCTCACCGCCGACACCTCTGCACCAGACCGACTACACGTCTCCAGAGCCCTCGCGCCAGCCCAATGGCCCCGCCCTGGCGGAAGCTCGGAAGATCTCTGTCGCGGAAGCCGGTTTACAGGGCCACTGTAGAGGAAGAAACTTCACCAGATAAGAAACCCGATCAGTGGATGGTTTGGAAACTCGTGAGATGGATATGGATATTGACATCGATTGTGAGATCGATCGTGAGACCCATACCTAGTGGCATCGCTAGGAAGGACGATAGTGAGGTCGATCGTGAAGTCGACTCAGTGAGATCGATAGTGAGATCGATTATGAAATCGCTCGTGCGATCTATAGTGGGATCGATTCTGAGATCAATAGAGAGGTGGGTAGTGAGATCGATGGTGAGACCGATAGATCGACCAAAAACCCGGGAAACGGGGAACCCCGCCGCCCACCGAAATCGGTCCAGAACCAACAACTGGGAACCCGGAAACCTGGAACTGGAACCAGGGAGCCCGGCCGCCTACCGAAATCGGCCTGGCACGTTCGCCAAATCTTTCGAAAACTCTGCTAGGACCCCTTCAGCGCAAGCACTGACTGGGGAAGACCTTGGTGGTCTCCAAACCAGGTGGTGAGACACCCGGTGGTGACCCCGATTCCCCCCAAAAATAATTCTGGGTCGCCACCGGGTTTGGGGACACGCGGTCGCCACGAGGTTTTGCGTCTCCTGGGCCAGCCAGCGCTCGAAAACCATTACCCAAATCGCCCAAAACTCACCACCGGGTGTTCTCACCACCACGTTTGAGGACCACCAAAAAACAGCAGAAGCATAAACTTTTGGAGGTCCGCGCGGATGTCTCGGATCTGCGCTGGACGCCCCCGTCCTGGCGCGCGCAGCGGCGCCACGGGCGGCGCCCGTAGGCGCCGCCCGGGGGACGGGCCCGGCGCGGGTCCAAGGAATGCGTGCAGAGCGCTAGCAGTGTATCTTGGACGCCCGAAATGGGCACGGAAAGAATGGGCACAATGCCCAACAGCAAATGTTGTCCCAAACCAACAGCGGCCGCTGTTGGACAACCGGCCTTCTGTCTTGAATGGACACAGGCCGCGGCGGCGTAAACAGCGAGTCCTGTTCAAAATGAACAAGATCCGCTGTTGGGCATTGTGCCCATTCTTTCCGTGCCCATTTCGTTCGTGCAGATGTATGTTTATGGCGTTGGTTCTTCTTCTGCCGGAGGGCCTCTGCCGCAGAAGCCAGCTTAGGTATGCAGGGCAGCTTCTAAGACATAGGGAGTTTTGAAATACAAGATTTCAATGCATGATTAATTGTATGAAGAAAGGTACCTATACGACCACCCTTCGGGTGATAAGGAGGTTCGGGGGGGGGGGGGAACCAACGTCTCACTCGATCGGTCTCACTATCGATCTCAGTATCGATCTCACTATCGGTCTCGCTCGATCGATCTCACTCGATCGATCTCACAATCGATCTCACTCGATCTATCTCATTCGATCGATCTCACAATCGATCTCACAATCGATCACACAATCGATCACACAATCGATCTCACATTCGGTCTCAATATCGATCTCACTGTCGATACCACAATCGCTCTCACAATCAACGTCATCATCATCATCATCAACATCATTAACATCAACATCATCACCAACATCGTCATCATCATGGGAGCACCGTCAGCATCATCATCATAAACATCATCATCAATGTCAGCATCATCATCGGGACAACATCTTCATCATCACCATCATCATCTCACCATCAACATCATCATCGGGACACAGTCGTCATCATCATCAGCAGCATCATCATAATCATCATCATAATCGGGACACCATCATGATCACCATCGTTCTCATCACCAACATTATCATCAATATCGTCATCATCCTCGGGACACCATCATCATGATCATCGCATCATCATCATCATCGACATCATCATCATCAACAACATCATCATCATTGGGGCACCATCATCATCATGAGCAACATCATCATCAACATCGACATTTTCATTATTTATCATCATCGGGACACCATCATCATCACCATCATCATCACCATCATCATCAGCATCATCATCGGGACACCATAATCATCGTCAACATCATCATCAACATCATTACCGCCTGGACACCATTTCCATCAACATCATCATCACCAACATCATCGGAATCATCATCATCATCATCATCATCATCATCATCATCGGGACACCATCATTGTCATCATCATCAACATAATCATCATGAGCATCATCATCCTCATCATCGGGACACTATCATCATCATCGACACCATCATCAACATCATCATCATTTCATCGGGACACCATCATCATCATCTCATCATCATCATCATCATCATCATCATCATCATCATCATCATCATCATCATCATCATCATCATCATCATCATCATCATCATCATCGCGGGACACCGCGGGACACCGGCGGGACACCGCGGGACACCGCGGGACACCGCGGGACACCGCGGGACACCGGCGGGACACCGCGGGCCACCGGCCGCCCGGAAGGGAATCATTTGGTCCGGCCGCGCCTCAGCCACACGGGACTTTCGCGGGACACCGGCGGGACACCGCGGGCCACCGGCCGCCCGGAAGGGAGACATTTGGTCCGGCCGCGCCTCAGCCACAGGAGACTTTTTCTCGCCCGCCCACGCAGCTTCGCCTCGCCCGCCCGCACGGCACGCACGAACACGAAACCGAAATCGATTTCCGGGTAGGGGGGCTCTCCGTTCCACTTGGATCTCACCCCCTCACCTCCGATGCATGAACTCATCGCTGTGTTTCATACAACGTCCTGCATCTTTGATACATGATCCGCACGCGGAGCATGTATCAAAAAAGGCACTGTAGGTATATGATTTTCTCATCCTACTCACAAGCCGCATCCCAGAAACAATTTCGAGCAGCCAGAGAAGTATCGAAGCAGCATCGAGCGAGCATCTCGCGTCCCAGGGCCCGACGCGTGAGAACCCTTCAGTTTATGTACTTCCTTGGTGCTCGAAATTGTTTCTGGTGATCAATCAAGGCTAGTAGGTTGGAGCATCACAAGTTTAGATAAGGACCTCTGGGCAGTTGGTTCCCCCCTGCCTCGGCATTCTCTTATTCGCGTGTGCGGTGGCCTCGGACACGCCAAGCCTCGACGCGGGTGGTCTTTTTGGCCGAGGTCCCGGCGATGGCGCAGACTGCTCCCTGGCTCCTCGCAGTGCGCTCCGGGGCATCCACGCTCGAGGCACGTTCATGGCGGGTCCTTCTCGAGCTTTCTGCAAGTTGCTTTGCCAATACACTTCCTTGATTCGGCGTTGCGGAAGAGGGGCGGATGGGGGGGTCTTGCCTCGGCGATGGGAAATCAAAGGAAAACAACGCACCTGCGAAAGGCACAGGCTGAAAACGGCGGTCCCGATTGGCGCGCAGAAGAGGGCGTAGCTACATGCCAATGGCCACTGCGAAATTTCATTCGTGATCCCACGTTGTAGAGACGTCGCACCCAGCCGTCGCATCCGCTCGTAGCTCACCATCCTGGGAGCGGTCCTTGCACCAGGAGGCGGAGCGTCCTCAAGAGAGTCCCAGATCCTTACCTAGCCACTCTAGAACGAAGGACAGAACTGCCTCCAGAGGGGACGTCAACAACGTGCCGCGCAGCCTTTGCGATCGAACGAGGGATCGAGAGGGGGAAGGACTCACAGATGCCAGCGCGTCTCTCATCTTGGAGGAGGCGGCCCTTGCACCAGGAGGATAGTCGAGCCAAAGCAGCGCACGCTGTGCATGGATCTCTTCTGCCGCTTGGCCCTGCCTCTTCCACTCGAATCCTGGGATTGTCTGCATCCCCACGACAAGGCGCGCCGCCGCACGTCGAGACAGCCAGAGCAGCGCAGATCCGCAGTGTTCCACACTTTGGAGCCTGGCGGCTGCCTGACGGCGGCAATAATCTCCTTGCAGAAGGGGGAGGAGGACCAGGGATGAGCAGGTCAATGGAGTGACGCAGGCGGAGAGCGGACGAGAAGAGAAGAAGACTCAGTTGAGCTGTCGCCGACTATGAAGTTGCCCAGGCGGACAGGAAGCCCGCAACATCTGGGGTTGGACGGTCTGTTGGGTCTCGCGAGACCTCCACCAATAATTCGAAATCGCCTCTGAGCAACTGCGCTGCACTAGCCTGTTGCTGCACATCTGTCTGCGGCAGAAGTGGCTGCACAGAGTGCGCTCCAGTCTGGCTCAGATTGAGCGCAGCGGAATCCGAAGCCCGCTGCGCTTCGGGGCTCATGCGACAGTGTCACGGAGAAAAGAGAAGAGAAGAGAAGAGAAGAGAAGAGAAGAGAAGAGAAGAGAAGAGAAGAGGAAGAGAAGAGGAAGAGGAAGAGAAGAGAACCGTGGGCCGACCTGCTCCTCTCACCAGCGCGGGCAAGCTCCGTGCGCTGTTGCACCACAGTATGGACAGCAGCCAGCTCAAATGACTTAAATGAGCCCGCGTCACTGTGGGGGCAAATGCAGCGCGCGTTGCCAGCCGGTGGTAAGGAAGTGCATTATGGTTGTCCGGAGGCGCGTCGCGAGAACACGCACGACCGACACCGAATTATGAACCACAGTTGTCGCGGATGCCGAAACTTTGTGATAGGGCGGCGACGAAGGGAGGGCCGAAATGGCTTGGCTTGCTTGGGCACCAGGGACCGCATGGGCCACACAGGTACAGGGATGCTTGGGTCGGGCATGTCCTCCTGCAGGCGGATTCTGCGAGAGAACTGGGAGATGGTCAACACATATTCAAACGTAGCGACAAAATAATGAGAAACAGCGCCCCAAAACTATTGTTTGACCATGAGGAGGAGGAGGGGGAGGAGGAGGAGGAGGAGGAGGAGGAGGAGGAGGAGGAGGAGGCGAAGGAGGAGGTGGAGATGGAAGAGGAGGAGGCGGAGGAGGAGGAGGGGGAGGAGGGGGAGGAGGAGGAGGAGGGGGGGAGGAGGAGGAGGAGGAGGAGGAGGAGAGGAGGAGGAGGAGTTCTCGACTGCTCCCCCTGCAGGAGGGACACGAGCCCGACCCGAAGGCCCGCGAGCAGGACCTCCAGTAGCCTTCGGGCTCCGGGCAGGCGGGCCCGGGGGGCGCCCGGCGCCGGAGCGCAGCCCGGCCACGCTCCAGTCGGGACTGGCCTGCTGCAGGGGGCACCTGTGATCGGGCTGGACGAAAGGGGGGGATTGGGAAAGGGGGGGTTACGAAATGTGCTGCATGCAGCTGGTTTCGGCCTCACCGAGGGGCCCAGTCCTTGATACATAGCCGCCTCCGGCGCCTGGAGGCGCCGGGAAGATCAGCTACGCGAGCTGATTCTCAAACCCCCCCTTTGCTATCCCCCCCTTTCGCCCGACCCGATGTGAGGGGCAGCGATCGGGGGGGACTGGCATGGGGTTACGTTGGGCCTGTCCCCCTACAGGCGGATTTTCGACGAGAACTAAAACGTACCCCAAAAATGCCCCAAAAAGGCAAACAAATACTAAAAAAATGGTCCCCAGACTATTTCGTATCATTATTTGATTCTTTTTGGGTCATTTTTTATTTTTCGTCGAAAATCCCCCTGTAGGGGGACACGCCCGACAGAAGCATAGGGGGGGATGCATCGACCTGGAATCGGCCATACATCGCCGACAGATCGGCGATAGGCCTCCGATCGTGAATCCGCACCTTCCTGGGCAGGTTGGGGCTATCGAGCCCCTATCGGCGATCAATGGGCGATGGGGGGTCGATAGATCCGCCCCTATGCCGATCCCCCCCTATCGTTGCCCCTGATACAAGGGCTTTTGGACGACAAATGAAAAACGAGCCAACACGTACCCCCCGAATGGCCAAAACATACTAGAACAATCGTCCCCAGACTATTTGTTGACTACTGTTCAATGTTCCCCCTGTGGAGGGACAGGCCCGACTTGAGGCTACGCGGCGGGGCTCTTGCATTCTGGGCGTGCCGCTGCCGGGCGCGCTGCTGGCTCGCGAGGGGCAGGGCGGGCTCAAGGTGCTTCCCGTCGGCGGCGAGCGAAGAGGGGAAATGAGAATCGGGGGCGCGCAAACATGGAGTAGCGATCCATGGATCTGGCGCGCGGTCGCCTAATCCATGGATCGGGGGAGGTGGCCTCCCCCAAATGCGGCCGTTGCCGCCTCGCTCGGCCGGCGGAAATCCGCGATTCCCCAGGGAAACGGGACCCGTCGCTAATCCACGCCCCCTTGATCCATGTTTGCGATCGCCTGAGATAAGGAGAAGGCCCTCTCAGAAGGCGGCGGGACTTCTCAGAAGCCCTCGCGTCTTTCTGAGAAGCTTGGTTGTTTTCGGGGAAGGCTTAGGCAACCTCTCGGAAAGCCAGGGGGCTTCCGAGCCTTCTGAGGAGGCCTTCTCCTTCTCACTTCCCCCCCTCGCTCGCCACCGACCAAGACATTACCACCCCCCTCTCCTGTCCACCCAGCACGAAGCCCGCCCAACTGATTCTGACGCCGAGAGCATGCGGCGCCCAGCGTCTCGCGCCAGCTCAGCTTACCGTGCAGCAGCCCTGCGCCGCCGACGCGTCGCCTGGGCCTTCGCAAGGGATGCCATACCTCCTGCACAGGTCCGCTCGGCCAGACAGAGAGCGCAGGACGGACTCCTGCTCTGGGGTCGTGATGGCTCCTGGACGGGCAATGCGCGCCCAGCCGAGAAGACCGCGGCCTGAGACGTTGTACTTGTGAATGACGAGGAGGCATGCCAGAAACACGCTCCTGCCGAAGCCGCCCTTGCAGTGGACGAGGACAGCGCCGCCGTCCTTGGCGGTCATGTGCCTGGTCAGCGTGAAGAAGCGCTTGATGGTGGCGCGGGGGGGGACACCACCTTCTGCGGCAACTCATAGGAGCCTACTTTAGCATCATGTTGGCTCTTGCGAATCGACGCTAATCGACGCTATTCAACTATTCAGCGCTAATCGACGCTACATCGACGCAGATCGACGCTAATCGACGCGAGCCCACGCTAAATCGGAACTATCTCATCGATTACCAAACGCCAGTAATCGACGCTAGTGCGCTCTAAACAAGGAATTACGGGGTACACAAGGCTCCCATAACTGGCTATCGAACACCACCCTTGCTGCTCGGGTGCTTGGAGTCGCTGACGGGAACGTCCGCGTGCTGGATCCCGACGTCGGCTAGCAGCCCCGCGTCGTAGCTGCCTCCGATCTCCGCCAAGCCCGGCTCGTCCGACATGTTGACGCGCACCACCGTCTTGATGCCCTCCTCCCGCAGGAAATCCACAAAGGGTCTGGCGCCTGGCCACAGGTCGCAGCTCCTGGCGAGAGTGTCCCCAGCGCCGTAGACCTTGCACACGGTGTGCACCGATGCAGAGTCCCGCCGGCCGTCCTGGAACTCGTCGGGGTCCCGGTCATCAGTGGTGCTGGGGGCTGTCTTTGGAGTGAAACCCAAGACCTTCGTCTCCAGGAAAGCGGCGTTCGGACTGGAGGGCCAGGAAGCGCACACGGACTCTCGCCGGAGATCGTCCAGGGAGCACGTTTCCGAATTGCCGTCGGAGCCCTGCAATCTGCCGTCTCCGAAAGCGGGACACGTTTTTTGGTTCGGGTCCTTGATGGTCGTCATCGGATCTGCCATGACGACGACAGCACCCGGCACAAGCCATGCCGCGTCGTACTCGCAATTGGTCTTCCAGAACTGGCTGGCCGCGAGGGAGGCCACGACGCCATCGTTGATTGCTTCTTTTCGCAGCCACCCGAGGTCCCTGGCCATCTGCACGCCCTCCCAGCAGTCCTGGACCGTCATGCGGGGCTTCCCGTGAGCAGTCCTCAGGTCCCCTGGTTCGATCCAAGAGCACGGAAAGGTCAGGCCAGCGTCTTCGGGCAGGGTGCCGCACACCTCTCTCGCGGACCAGCCGAGGCCGAGCATGAGGTAGGCGCCAACGACTACGGCGACGTTCTGGCGATCCTCGGTCCTGTACTCGACGACGACGAGCTTGCCCTCATCCTTCAGCCGCTCGTTGAGTTCGTGGCTGAACCACAGCGTCTGGTCGATTGCCAGCGGTCCAACGCAGCCACCGAGGGCACTCCTGGGGTAGTGGCAAACCTCGTAGAAGCCTTGCCTGAACTCGGGCGCTGTGATGTCGTCGAACGCCAGTCGAGCCTGATCGCTGGCGGCACTCCCAGCAGGGCCGTAGCTCAATCGATGTGGGATCAGGGTCACGAGCTCCATCGCAGCTAAATTCGGCGCCTGACGCAATAGAGTTCCAGAGTTTCTAAAACCGGCTTGTGCAACCATGGCTACGGACGGGTCTTGTCGCAGTCGTTGAGCCGTCTTGTTGGGAGCTTCTCGGGCCGTCTTCGGGCCCTACTGAGGCCATTTCAGACTGCCTGACAGGTCGCCTTCTGGACTCGTCTTGGGTCCTTTGTGACGTGCTCCTGGAACGATGTTAGGCCAGAAACGTCTTGTTGCGGCGCCGCCATGCGAACCCTGCCACTGGGGCCTTCGGTGGAGCCCCCTGTGTTCACGAAACATGTGAGGGGTATGCCACAAATAGTGCGGCGCCGCCATGCGAACCCTGCCACTGGGGCCTTCGGTGGAGCTCCGGCATAAATCGAGGCTGCGCCACCATGCGACCCCTGCAACGGTCGGTGGAGCTCCCTATGGTGCGACGAGGCGAGTGAGGGGTGTGCCAAAATGGAGGCGGCGGCGCCATGCGAACCCTGCCCGTGGGGCCTTCGGTGGAGCTCTCTGTGGGGACACGAAGCGTATGAGGCGTGTCTCGAGGGAAAAAAGAGGCAGGAGGAGGAAGGAGGGAAAAGGGAGAGGGCGGGAGTGATTGAGTGAGGTGGTACGCGGGGCGCTGTCCCTTCAAAACGAGGACCTCGCACCACATGATGGCTGGGACAACCAATTCTCCTGCCGAAGACCCAGCCGCATGCAGGCCTGAGTACACAAGGCAGGTGAGACGGATGAAGGGAAAATCCAGATGGGGCCACAAAGGGAGTGAGAGGTGTGCCAAAATGGCGCGGTGCCGCCATGCTGGCGCTAGCACTGGCGCCGTTGGTGTGGGGTCCCCAAAGAAGCCACGAAACGTGTGGGGGATGCGCCACAATGGAGCGGTATCGCCATGCGGGCGCTGCCAACTCCCTATGGTACCACGAAGCGTGCGAGGGGTGTACCAACATGGGGGCGACGCCGCCGTGCGAACCCTGCCAGTGGGGCCCTCGGTGGATCTCTCTGTGGGGCCAGGAAGGCGCGCAGTGAGCAAAAATGGGGCGGCGGCGCCATGCGAACCCTGACATCTGGGCCTTAGTTTGGGCTCCAGATGGGGCCGCGAGCCGTATGATGGCTAGGGGTGTGCAGAAATGTGGCGGCACCGCGATGCGAACCCCGACATTTGGGTCTTAATTGGAACTTGCTCTGGGGCCGATAACCGTGTGATGGGGACGGGTGTGCAGAAATCGGGCGGCACCACCATGCGAACCCTGACATTTGGGCTTTGGTTGGAGCTCGTTATGGGGCCGCGAACTGTGTAATGGGTAGGGGTGTGCAGAAACGGGGCGGCGCCGCCATGCGAACCCTGACATTTAGGCCTTAGTTGGAGCTCCCTATGTGGCAACGAACCCAAGGAAGGTCATGCCCAAGCAGGCATGCGGAGAGCCGCGAAACGTGTGACGGGTACGGGTGTGCAGAAATGGGGCGGCGCCGCCATGCGAAGCCTGCTAAAAAGACTTATTGCGAAGTCCCCCGTGGTGCAACGAGCGTGCTGAAATGGGCGCGGCACCGCCATGCGAACCCTGCCACTGGGGCCCTTGGCGGAGCTCCCTGTGGGACCACGAAACGTTTGAGGGGTGCGCCAACATGGAGGCGGCGTCACCATGCGAACCCCGCCACCAAGGCCTTCGGTAAGGCTCCGCCTGGGCCACGAAACGTGTCAGCGGTGAGGAAAAATAATGTGGCGCCGCCATGCGAACCCAGCAATTGGGGGGCTTCAGTAGAGCTCCCTGTGGGGCCACGAATCGAATCGTGTGAGGGGTGTGCGGAAATGAGCCGGCGCCTCCATGCGAATCCTGGCATTCGGGCTTTCGCTGGAGCTCTCGATGGGGCCACGAAGCGTGTGAGGGTGTGTGCCGAGATGAGGCGGCGCCGCCATGCGAACCCTGGCGTCTGGGCCTCAGTTGGAGCTCCCTGTGGGGCGACGAACCCAAGGAGGGTCACGCCGAAGCAGGCGTGCAGAGAGCAGAGCTGGAAGTGGAGGAGGGGCAGCGGGAGGGGAGAACGCGGGGCGCTGCCTTCTCAAAACGACGAGCCACCATCACAGGGCGGTCGGGGGGAAAAGCAGCCCGTTGTCCAGCAAATTCGGCCTCTGGATGCCGTCGCTGCCCGCCGGGGCAGTGGGCCAAAGCCAGGATGACAGGCCCGTCCCTGGAATGGGGTCGGGTCGAGAGGTCGGTGGCCTACGCCACGAAGCAGCTGCGACATCGTGCGCGAGGGAGGAGGGAACATCCTGCAGGACGTCTGGCTCAGTGCTCGTGCGTACCTGCGTGTCCCGCCCACAGTCCGGGCGCGCAGGGCGCAAGGAGCTCAGAGCACCAGGCGGGGCACGGCTGCCCGCTCATAACTTTAGGTCGGGCATGTCCTCCTACAGGCGGATTTTGGGCGATAGAAATAAAACAGACGAAGCATAGTCAAACATGTTCCAAAAATAATCGAAAGATCGTCCCCAGACTATTTTGACTATTTTTGAATACTCCTCCTGTAGAGGGACGTGCCCGACTTAAACATAAGTGCCTTGGGCGCGGGGTTCTTACAAAGAAGCCGCGAAGAACTCGGCCGGTGGTCCCTCTGCGGGTGCGAGTCCCTCCTGAGAGCAGCCTCGGGAAGTGTAGAAGCACAGAGGAGGAGCGCCGTCACTCTATCAATGCCCGCCCTCCCACGCCTTGAAGTATAGGCCTGCGCATAGCGCCACGAGGGCGACAGCGACCAGGTAGTTGAAGTAGTCGATGGACAATCGCCCGAACTCCTGCGGAGGGGTGGCCATGAAGGTTGCGTCCTTGACGCGCCTGTACCGCCTGACTCCCGACCACGCCGCCACGAGGCAGAGGCTCACCATGGCCACCCTGGACACGTTGGCGGAGAACAGAAAGATGCCCTGGGTGGAGAACGCCAGCAGAGCCAGCGCTGTACGCACCGCGGCCATGCTCGTCCGCATCCATGCCAGCAGTGTCCTCTCGTTGGCGAGGTCCGTGCTCAGTCGCGAGAAGCGGTCCATCGACTTGGCGACCTGCTCCAGCTCCGCAGCCTGCTCGGCCTGCGACCCCGCCACGCTGGCCGCCCTGGGCCTCGCCTCCGCAGCACCCGACTCCGCGTAGCTCGCAGAATTCAGCCTCGCCATGTCGGGCTCCATCCTGCTGAGCTCCAGGCCCCCGGAGGCGGGGGAGCGGCCCTGCAGTGAGAGCAGCGGCAACGACGCGGGCCTCACACCCAGACCTCCGACGTCGTGTCGCTTTTGTATGCTCCTCGCGAATGGCTCCGGAGACATCGACCCCATCCTGGCGGGCCCCTGGGGCGTGGAAGCGGGCCCCACCACGCCGGAACCACGGAGGACAGGCCGGCGCACTGCAGTGCGCTGGAAGCTCGCCTCTGCGCCTCAACGTCGGCCCCGGGGCGTCGAATTCCGGCGCGCCCCGACCCAGGAGAATTCGAGGCGGAGCCAGCCGTGGCGACGAGGGCCCGCCGAAGGCGAGGCGCGACCGCCGCGATCCCAGTCAAACCTCGCGGCGCCTGGCGGTCTGAGCGTCCTGCAGCGACCCAGGCGCGTCGCCGAGAGCGGGCTGGCGCAGCTGCTGCCGCGCAGGATGCTCGGCGGCGGCAGCCGCGCCTGGCGCCGCCGAGGCGTCCAGGTCCGCGAGCAGCTCCTATGCGCGCCGCTCGCTCTCCACTTCCTCCCCCCCTGACCACTCCCCCGGCGTCTCTCTCGGCCTCGCTGTCCACGCGGGTCCGCTGACGCTCGGATATTGACAAAGGCCATGTTTTCTACCGACATTTGCCATCACTATGAGATGCACATGTGGGGATCTCCGCGTCGAGTAAACTCGGCCGTCGATGCGACTGAGCGTTGCGGGCGCGGCGCGCGCCGCCGCGACCCATGGCGAGTGCGCTCGTGGAGAGCTCCCCGTTCCTATCTGCTTTCTCTTGTTTTAGGTCGGGCATCTGCCCCTACAGGCGGGTTTTGCAGGAGAAATCAAGAGTACTCCAACCAAGCTCCAACCAACCAATAGTCACTCCCCAGACCACTTTTTGACTATGTTTGAACATTTCTCCTGTAGAGGGACAGGCCCGACTCAATCCTTCCTTCGCCTTCCGCAAGACTCCTCGTCCTCCCCGAACATCCCTCCGCCCTCCCACCGCCTCCCTGCTTTCCCCCACCCCCCTCGCTTGCTTCCGCCCAACCCCTGCTTCTGACCGCCCTCTTTTCGAGGGCGCGCAAACATGGATTAGCGATCCATGGATTTGGCGCGCGGTCGCCAAATCCATGGATCGGGGGAGGTGCCCTCCTCAAAATGCGGCTTGTGCCGCCTCGCTCGGCGGCGGAAATTCGCGATTTCCGATGGAAACAGGCCCGTCGCTAATCCACGCCCCCTTGATCCATGTTTGCGATCGCCACACACGCACACTCTCTCTCTCTCTCTCTCTCGCTCTCTCTTTCTCTCTTTCTCTCTCTCTCTCTCTCTCTCTCTTTCTTCGCACTCCTCGCTCATACGTATTTGCTCCTGTAAGGCCTTCCTACCTCCTCCTCGTGCTGCACCTCCGTACCCACGTTGTTATTATTTTCCTCCGCCTCCTCCGCCTCCTCCCCCTCGCCCTCCGCCTCCTCCTCCCTCTCCTCCTCCCACTCTTCCCTCGCCTTCTTCTTCTCCTCGTTGACACACATCATGCCTGACCACGTGTACGGTAAGCGGCGATTGGGGCTTCCACAGGCACCCCCCCGACAAACGCTCGTTGTCGAAAGGAGGTGGCTGTCTCGGGGTAGCTATGCTTTATGCTGACGACACTGACCATCCACCAACACCAGGTGCCAACAACGGTGGCTGCTCCGTCTCCTTGTGGACGCTGCTTGGCGGCGGTATCGGTTTTCGTGTATCCACGAATGCTGCATGTTTTCCATCGTCGCGGGGCAGTGGCCTCAATCAAGAGCACAGCCCGGCGGCAAGGCCAGCGGCCCTGCACACTCTCACGCGCATCCGCTACCAAGGTCCGTCTCCTTTTGGGCACTGGCTAGCGGCAGCGCAAGCTTTCGTGAATCCACGGGATCTGCGCGCTTACCCCGTCCTGAAGCAGATGCCTCAAGGAAACAGCCTTGCGGCAAGGCCAGCGGTCCCGCGCACTCACGCAGTTACCACGGTTCGTGTTTTTCGCGCTGGATGGCTGCAGTGCCAGCTTCTGTGCATCCATTCTGCGCGCTCGCCCCCACCGCGAGGCATTGGCCTCAAAAGCGCAGCCCGGCGGCAAGGCAGGCGGTCCTGCACGCTCTCACGTCTGCCCGATTGCCACGTTTCGTCTATTTCTGGGCGCTGGCTGGCGGCAGTGCCGGCTCCCATGCATCCGCAGGTTCTGCGCGCTTGCCCCCGTCGCGGAGCAGTTGCCTCAAGGGCGCGGCCCGGCGGCAAGGCCAGCGGTCCTGCGAGCTCTCACGTCTCCCCAGCTACCGCGTTCCGTATCCTTTTGGACGCTGCCTGGCGGCAGTGCTGGCTCTCGTTCGAGATGCACGCCCATCCCTGTCCCGAAGCAGTTGCCTCGAAGACGCAGCCAGGCGGCAAGGCCGGCGGTCCCGCGCACACACGCGTCTCCCCAGCTACCGAGGTCCATCTCCATTTGGGCGCTGGCAAGCAACGAGGCCGGCTCTCGCGCATTCGCAGATTATGCGCGTTTGTCCCTCTCGCGGGGCAGTTGCCTCAAAGACACAATCTGGCGGCAAGGCCGGCGGTCCTGCGCGCTCTCGCGCCTGTCAAATTACCACGGTCCGTCTCCTCTTGAGTCAAGACTCTTGAGCGCTGGCCAGCGGCAAAGCCGGCTCTCGCGCATCCACGCGGCGTCTGCGCGCTTCCCCCAGTCGCGAGGCAACTGCCTCAAGGACAAAGCTCGACGGCAAGGCCGGCAGTCCTACGCGCTCTCACGCCCCCCCCAGCTACCACGGTTCGTTGCCGCCGCTAGGCATTTGGCTCCAAAGACAAAGCCCAGCGCGGCTATCACACGCGCTCTCACGTCTCCCAAGTTTTCACGTTTCGACTCTTTCTGGGCGCTGGCTGGCGGCAGTGCTGGCCTTCGTGCGCCCGCAGGTTCTGCGAGCTTGCCCCCATCGCGAGGCAATTGCCTCAGGGGCGCCGCCCGGCGGTGAGGTCGGGAGACCAGCGCGTTCTCACGTCTGCCGGGTTACCGCGTTCCGTCTCCTTTTGGGTACTGACCGGCGACAGCGCGCATTCACAGATTTTGCGCTGCGATCTCAATCCCGTCGCGAAACAGCTGCATCAATGGCGCAAGGCTGTCGGTCCTGCGTATTCCCACGTCTCCGCGGCCACCACGTTTTCTCCTTTTAGACAAAATCTGGCGGCAGCGGCAGCTTGCATCCGCGAATTCAGCATGCTTGCCCCCGTCACTAGGCAGTTGCCTCAAGGACACAGTCTGGCGGCATGGTCAGCGGTCCTGCACGCTCTCACGTCTCCCCCTTGCCACGGTTCGTCTCCCTTCGGTGATGGCACGGCGACGGACGCGAAAGGAGGAAGCCTGCCCTTAGAGGGTGGCGGAGGGACATCATGATGGACGGCGTTCGCAAGCCCGTGCTGCATTGCAAGTGTAACACACAGACTTCGGAGGATGAGTTTTCTGAATCCGCATCCCGTGCCATCCACATCCCTTCTGGCCGCGTCCAGGTGCGCCTTCCCCCCTTCTCACTGCACTCACCTTGCAGACGTGCTGCAGCGGATTTTTGCGCGGATTTCTGCCAATGCAAAACCCCGAAACGGCGAGTGAAAAACGAAATGAATCTCGCGTGGATTTTTTTGTCTTCACTCCCGGCTAGAGAAAAAAAACACGAAACTCACTTCGAAATCCGGAGCGAAATTCCCCAAGATACTCCAGGCCAGCCTTATCGTTTTCCACGAGAAACCCGCTCTGCGATGTTGGCGCCGTGACCCTTCCCCCCGCACCTCCAGCAGCATTGGGTTGGGCGTGTCCCCATCCAGGCGGATCATCTTGGACGCACCGTTAAAAACTCCCCAAACAATACCCCCAACAAATATCAAAGCATGCTCTTTTTGAGGGGGGGAAAACACACATCGTCCCCAGACTATTGTTTGAGATGTTTTGATCATCCCTCCGTGGAAGGACATTGGACGCCCGAATTATCCGGGGTAACTCGGGTTTGTGTTCCCGGAAAACGAACCCGAGTTAGCCCTGACCCGAATTATCCCTGATGATTCGGGGCTCTGGACGCCCGAATTATCCGGGGTAACTCGGGCCCGGGGCAACTCGGGTTCGGGTTCCCGGAAAACGAACCCGAGTTAGCCCTGACCCGAGTCACCCCTGATGATGTTGGGGCTCTGGACGCCCGAGTTATCCGGGGTAACTCGGGCCCTGGACGCAACTCGGGTTCGGGTTCCCGAAAAACGAACCCGAGTTAGCCCTGACCCGAAGTATCCCTGATGATCTGGGGCTCTGGACGCCCGAATTATCCGGGGCAACTCGGGCCCGGGGCATCTCGGGTTCGGGTTCCCGGAAAACGAACCCGAGTTAGCCCTGACCCGAATTCTCCCTGATGATTCGGGGCTCTGGACGCCCGAGTTATCCGGGGCAACTCGGGCCCAGGGCATCTCGGGTTCGGGTTCCCGAAAAACGAACCCGAGTTAGCCCTGACCCGAGTTGGAGTATTTGTTGTGTGTATTTGTTTGGTATCTTTGATTTTTCGCCCCAAGTCTCCCCTTATGGGGGAGCCGCCCGAGCGAAATCTTTATGCTTCTGCCGTTCTTCGCTCCCCCGAGGAGGGCTCCTGGAGGAGAGAGGGGGGCCCTGGAGTCAGGAGGGGAAAAAACACACAGACACAATTAATCGTCGACTCCAAGGAAAATATGGAAAAAGATGGGAATTGGGGCTCTGAGGACAGGCCCGACCGCACAGCAGCACGGGGCCCGCCGGAAGGACGGCCTGCCGCGGGCGGGCGGGCCCAAACGCCGCGGCGACACGCGAGCCCGGCCGGAGCAGCGGGGAGCCCGCGGAGCGGCGGCGACCGCCGAGACTGCTGCGGTGCTCCTCCTCCTCACTCCTCCTCCTCCTCCTCCTCCTCCTCCTCCTCCTCCTCCTCCTCCTCCTCCTCCTCCTCCTCCTCCTCCTCCTCACTCCTCACTCCTCCTCCTCCTCCTCCTCCTCCTCCTCCTCGGATCGGATCGGATCGGATCGGACATTAGGGCTTGTCACATGGGAGCCCGTGCAAGGAACTCAGTACATGAAGATAGTCATGGCGTAGCACAGCTGCACGATGACCAGTGTGAGCATGTCACCAAGAAGAATCAAGATTCACCACTTGAGTAGGTTCATCATCTGAATCCAAACCCAGCAGTGAAAGTTGAGTGCTGAAGAATGAAGAAGCCACCGTAGATAACCGTCCCACTCCAGCCCAACATGCCGTGAGAAAGACGTTCAAATCCCATTTGGAGGCCGTATCGCAAAATAGAAGCTGCATGAGGATCAATATGGAATTGTTCAGACATCTTGCCCATTTCGACCACGGTCGGTACCCTCTGCCACTCCTTGCCACATATGTGGAGTGGTGAGCAGTTCGTGCCGTGGCCGATTCGTACAAATTTAGAGGTCATCATCTTCTTCTGCTGGAGACATCGCCTGGAGGTCCTTGTTGGGAGACTGCCCTGCCGTCCTAGCCTTATCCAGTGCGGCTGACCTGCGATTGTCATCGTCGATCTCGGTGGCAAGGCTCTGGACCTCCATGACGTCCGAGTTGTCGATCACCTCAGGATACTCGAGCGTTGGTACATCTCCCTCCTCCATATCCGTCACTTGGTTGTCCATGTCTGGTTTGCGCACCCATGGGCGGCGCACTGTCTGTGGTCGTACTGGTGCAGGCGGGCGTGGCGGCATCGGTCCATAGGCAATGTTCCATTGGCCATCTGCACTGCAGCTGGCTCCACTTGCTGACGATGTTGCCTTGGCCCTCACTTTCGACACCGCTGCTGGGGCCACTGGAGGTCGTGCTTTAGCTCGAATGCGGACAAGCTTCATCTTACCTCCCTGTTCAAGCAAGGCCCACCCTGAATGGTGAAGGAAGTGCAACCACATAGGATGCTCTAGGTCCTCCGCGGTGATCTCGATCTCCTTGGTGTCGTCGGTCGCTGTACGAAAGCGAATCATAGCTGGACTCGGTGGCTTCGGAGCTTCTGCAAGGTACTTCTTGAAGGTCTGCTTACCAACTCCCGCAGCAACAGGTGCGTCGCCGCCAACTTGCTTCGGAAGACGTGTTCCAGAGTACGTTGGGGGCCGGGGTCCCTCCTCTTGAGATGTTGCCCTTGCTGACGTGGTTATTCCCGTCGATGGCTCTGCCGTGATGTCTGGAACGTCCGTGTGGGTACCCGCTTCCACCTTATTAATGGTCTGCACAACAAGGCTGTCATCAATGCCAGTCTTGCGCGCCTCATCCATTTGCCAAGGCCGAAGAAGAAGATGAGGCGAGAGGTAGGCAACGTACCCATAATGCGGCGTGAGAGAGTTAACGAAGCTCCTCCTCCTCCTCCTCCTCCTCCTCCTCCTCCTCCTCCTCACTCCTCCTCCTCCTCCTCCTCCTCCTCACCTCCTCCTCCTCCTCCTCCTCCTCCTCCTCCTCCTCCTCCTCCTCCTCCTCACTCCTCCTCCCTCCTCCTCCTCCTCCTCCTCCTCCTCCTCCTCCTCCTCCTCCTCCTCCTCACTCTCCTCCTCCTCCTCCTCCTCCCTCCTCCTCCTCCTCCTCCTCCTCCTCCTCCTAGCTCACTCCTCCTCCCCCTCCTCCTCCTCACTCCTCACTCCTCCTCCTCACTCCTCCTCCTCCTGCCCGGGTGCTCGTCCTCGCCGCGCCCGAGAGGACGCCCCCGCCCCCCCCTGCACCTGCACTCTACGTTACATTCGCCCCCAGAGGTCCGAAGTCTGGACCCCTTTCCGCGGGACCGGTGTTTCACCTCCCGAGTCTTCCTGAGTCTTTCTCTCGACGGTCCCGAGGCCCGGCAGGGGCCCCCAGAGGCCGAAAGCAACGACGGACCTCCCGTCGCGATGTTGTTCCCAACGCGGTCTGGGTCTCGGGGCGGGGACCAAGGTGGGTATCGTTTAACCGATCCCCATCTCCAGCGGCGTGGCCTGGGCCCCACTGGCCGATTGACCCCTCCTGGATGGGGAGACAGGCCGTTCCCTTCGGGTTTCGAGGGGTGTATCTCCAACAGGGGAAGTTGGTGGGGGTCTCGAAGGGGATGAGGATGGGAAGGGGGGTCGGTGAAACGATACTGATGCTACGCCCTTGGGCGCAGCAAACTGGAACCGATACGCCGCGGCGCAGCCGCCTGCCAAGCTTAGGTCGGGCATGTCCCCCTACAGGTGGACTTTGAGCGGAAAATTAATAGTCCCAAAACAACCAAATATTCCAAACAGTCCCAAAACTGGAACCGACATAGAGAGCAACAACATCCACCCCCATAATAACCACCCCGACAAGCGAGGCCGTTTAGCAAACGCGCCCAAAGAAAGAATCGAGCAGGGCTGGGCTGTTTAGTAAGCGCCCAGGGCCGTTGAGTAAACGCCCATTATCGGGTCCAGGTGGTTGTTCTTCCCTTGACGACACGCCGCGGCGCAGCCGCCTGTCAAGCTTAGGTCGGGCATGTCCCCCTACAGGCGGATTCTGGGCGAGATATGAACCATAGTCCAAACGGGCCCTAACAGATCCAAACCTGTTTTTTGCTCTCATATAACAACTCGGCCCCAGACTATGTTTCCACTATCTCCGGATCTCCCTCCTGTAGAAGGGACGGGCCCGCCTGAATGCCAAGCAGGGCATCCGGGGCGGGGGGGAGCAGTTTGATAACAAAAACGCCCGGCGCAAGTGCGGGCCGTCGCGATCGGGGCGGCACGCCGCCCCGGGCGCAACAAGCTGGGTGTACCTACAGTTAAGTCGGGCCTGTCCCCCTACAGGGGGATTTTCAACGAAAAATGAAAAATACCAAAAATACCCCCAAAAGGTTAAGAAAAATAGTCCCCAGACTATTTTTGGATTATTGTTTGATTATTTGTTTGGTATTTTCTAATTTTTTGTCGTCGAAAATCGCCCTGTAGGGGGACATGCCCGACTTAAGCCTGGCCAGCGGTCGAACGGCGGCCATCGCCTCACGCACGGGCGTGCGTCGACCTACCACCCTCAGGGTGGCGTTTGTCGGAAGCCGGGCAAGGGCTGCCAAACCCGTGGCTGCTAAGATCGACCTCCGGGAAGTTGTCACCGTCCTTCCGGGAAGAAGCCCGTTGACCGTTTCGCGTGCCGCGCCTCATTCCGGGAAGCTGCTTTTTCCTTCCGGGAGGGCCGTTTTAGCAGCCACGGTTTTAGCAGCCCTCGCCCAGCTTCCGAGTTTGGCCATGAAAGGATCATGCCTCAAATGTCGCCCGCACGCCGGCGATCCGTCCTGCCTGGGAGCCGACCGCCCGTCACCACCAGGATGGCGAACCTTCCTGCGGTGGAGCAGGCGGTGAAACACACATCATGACTTATCGCTTGTAAGGTAGGCGGCGGTAAGGGCTACCATAGAACCCCCACGTCAAACCTGAAGTGTCGACAGGAGAAGGCAGTCTCGGGGTATGATGACTTGGATCTACATACCATCCAGCATAACCAGGTACCAACAACGGTCCCTGTTCCGACCCTGGGGCCACAAGGCTTGTCATCCCAACCTTCACCGCAACCGATCCGAGGATAGGAAAGCCCGTGTGCCCCACCCGACTCACAGGGCTATGCCTACCCTGATGGGCACCAGCAATACACGACGACCCTCCTCCTCCTTCTGCCCATCCATCGTCTATCCTGGCTCCTGCGAGAGCCGACGAAAAACCATCGAAATCCTTTTGTGCTTCTTCTTATTCTTCTTCTTCTTCTTCCTCTTTCTTCTCCTCCTCCTCCTCCTCCTCTGGCGACGACGGCGTCGACGCCGAAGCCGCGGGCCGTCGACCACGGCGCCGACAACGGCGGCGATCCTCCTCGGGCCGTCGCGCCGCATGCAGCACCAGCGTCAGGCCCGCGGGCAGCGCCGCGGAGAGAGGCACGGCCGCGTCGTCGCCGGGCAGGGTCAGGTAGAAGCTCCTCATCTCGAGGCTCAGGGTCCTTTTGCCTCCTCCGCCCTCCCTTTACCACCACCCCCCAGCCCGCCTCTCCTTTTCGCGCCCCTCCTCCTCCTCCTCCTCCTCCTCCTCCTCCTCCTCCTCCTCCTCCTCCTCCTCCCCCTCCTCCTCCTCCTCCTCCTCCTCCTCCTGCTGCCCCTCTTCGTCCTTCCCCCTCCCCCCTTTCTCTGCCATCTCTTCCCCTTGCCTCCTCCTCGTCCTCCTCTTCCTCCTCCTCCTCCTCCTCTTCTTCCTCCTCCTCCTCCTCCTCCTCCTCCTCCTCCTCCTTCTCGAGCCCCTGTGGAACAGCATCCAGTGCGCCCAAAAGAGGGGGCCGGGGAGGGGTGGAGGGGGGAGGGGGGTGCGCCTCGTCACCGTGGGCCGAGGCCTGCGCGCGGGCGCCTGGGGGCCAGGAAATGTGCCGAGAGGGCAGGAGGATGCCATGAGAGCTGGCAGATGTCATGGCATTGGCCGTTGCAACCACCCATCACGGGTCCTGCCCCAAACTCTGGGGGCTCTCTCGAAACCAGGGCCGCCTTGGCCGCTAGAACAACCCATCACGGGTCCTGCCCCAAGCTCTGGGGCTCTCTCGAAATCAGGGCCCCTTAGCCAGGGATTCTGGCAGAGCAGGCCAGGACCTTGACACACCCGAGAAAGCTGCAGCCGCGAGTCGAAACATTGTCTGGATTCCGCAAACAATTGGTTTGCAATGTCCTGGTTTCCGGGGCCCTGCGAAACCCCACTTGGCCACTACCTTTACACTGCGACGTCAGCTGTAACCCATCATGTGCGATCTTCCCTTCCCTCGTCTTCCTCCACTCTCCCTTCCCTCCTCCTCCATCCTTTCCTATTTCCCCCTGCCCTCGAACCTCAACTTCCGGACCTGTCCAGGGGTGCGCTCAGCCGGAAAAGTTGAAAGTGGCCAAACAAAAAACATAAGCCTCCCAACAGCTCCACCCTCGATTCTCGAACTTGGCAGATCTTGCGGATCAACACAAGTCAAAAGCACAGTGCACAGTTGACCCCAGGGACATCCCACCCCACCTACCCGTCCAGCCCGCCGTCCTCGCGTCACGAGCGCAGCCCGGCGACAGCTGCAACGCCATGAGGAAAAGTACCCAGACACCCGGCCGCTCCAATTTTTTCGATGCATGGGCCCCCGAGGTCTGGACCACTTCCCTAGGGCCGATGTGTCGTCCTGAATCGTGTTTTAACGGTCCCGAGGCCAGGCGAGGGCCCCCTGAGGCCGAAATCGGCCCAAATCCCGCCACTCCCATGTTTTCTTTTGGAGCGTCGGATCTCTGGGTATGCGGGCGGTGATCCTCGATCTTCCTTCTCATCCTCATCATGCCCCCCCCCGCTCTCCCTCCCCCCCCCCGAAAGGAGGAAGGAGGAAGGAGGAGGGAGCAGGGAGGAAGGAGGAGGGAGCAGGGAGGAAGGAGGAGGGAAGGATGGAGGGAGGGAGGAGGAGGAGGAGAAGGAGGAGGAGGAGGAGGAAGATGAGGAGGAGGAGGAGGAGGAAGAGGAGGTAGATGAGGAGGAGGAGGTAGATGAGGAGGAGGAGGTAGATGATGATGATGATGATGATGATGATGATGATGATGATGATGATGATGATGATGATGATGATGATGATGATGATGATGATGAGGATGATGATGAGGAGGAGGAGGAGGAGGGGGAGGAGGAGGAGGAGGAGGAGGAGGAGGAGGAGCCCCTGGTCCTGGGCCCCAGGCCGAGCCGCGCGCCGAGCGCCCGCTCCAGAGCCGCCGGCTCCGCGCCCTCCGTTGGCGGAGGGGGGGAGAGGGACGAGGGGCGAGGGCGGAGGGGATGCGAGGGGCGAGGGAACGAGCGGGAAGAGAGGGACGAGGGGGACGAGTCTCCTCGTCCTCCTCCTCCTCCTCCTCCTCCTCCTCCTCCTCCTCCTCCTCCTCAGGGACGAGGGCCGGGGGAGGGGGGAGAGGGACGAGGGCGGAGGGGGCAGGGGGGGTGCGAGGGACGAGGGGCGAGGGGGAGGGACGAGGGGTCAGGGACGAGGGGCGGGGGGAAGGGGGGAGAGGGACGAGGGTCCACCCTGGCGGCCGCACAGGCATGTCCCCCGGGCCTCCGGCGGACGGTGCCGTCAAGCAGGCAGCGCGTTTTGAGGCCGAGGAGTGCTGGTGCCACAGTGTGCACTCGACGCTTGGCTGTCGCCCAGGATCTGGGAGGCTCCGCTTTGCGCTGCTGCGTCGCGCATCTCAAAATGCAGAAGCGTCCTGGCCTCTGGTCGAGGGGGGGGGGGAACGAGGGGGGAGGCAAGCTGTGTGAGTTCACGCCACGCCTGGCATCCTACCCATCCTACCCCTCCAACCCGTCCCTTCCCATGGCGTTGATTTTTGTTTCGAGCCGCGGACGCGTGTCATAGCCAACCAAAAGTATCGCGTCGTGCGCAATCGGAGAAGGGTGGCTCCGTAAATATGGGGAGGGGGAGGAGGAACAGGTAGCGGATGAGCAGGAGGCAGGAGGAACATGAAGATATGGCAGGAGGAGTGGGCCGAGGACGAACAGCAGCAGCAGGATCTGAAGCGGAAAGGAAGGGGAAGAGCAGGACGACCAGGGAAAGGCGGAGACGGGGAAAGGAGGGGGACGACAACGGTGAGGAATGACTCGGAGCCAGAAAAGTGGCCCGCGCTTGGGCGAGAACGTCATTCTGAACGACTGGAACAGCGCGCCAGTCCTGAAATGAGGCCAACGCGGCAGCGGTAGCCCCATTTTGAATGACGAGAGCAACAACAACCATACTAAAACACACATGGGGCAAATCAGCGTTTGAAATCCTTCGCGTAAAAGGCAATCCCCAGATAGGGCTGACTGTCTTCCGAACGGGATCGCGGGAGAGAGGGGAGTCACATTCAGAATGTTTGCCTGTAGGGAGGGGGAATAGAGGGAGGATGGGAAGGATGCGGAGGTGGAGTGAATGAATGAATGAATGAATGAATGAGTGAATGAATGAGAAAGTCTCACCGTGATGCGATCTGGAAGGACAACCCAGCCAACCCCGAGCTACAAAGACTTCCCTCGGCTCACCGGGAAGGAGGCCCTTCCTTTGGAGGTGCGGCGCTTGCACTGCTTGGCATCGTGGCAGATTCGGCCCGTCACTGTACCACAGAAGTTCTACTTGATTACTCCCGATTTCGCAATAAAAGGGAGGGGGTCTCAACCCTCCCAGACGAGGTGTTTTAGCCGCCCCCCCCCCCCTGGGAGAACCCTCCAAAACATCGTCCCCAGACCCCCCCAGGCCCTCCAAGATCTTGGAAAAGACCCCCCCGAAATGAGACCCCCCTCCCTTTATTACGAAATCTGGAGTAATGTGTTGGGCAATTGCTGCTGCTGCTGTGCTGTAGGTGCTACAATACATAAGTGCTGCCAGTGGACATGCTGTAGATACGGCGTGGCTGATGCGCTGCGGTCCTAGCGGGTTCTGAATGTTAGAAGGGTGAGACAGGAATGAACACAACAACTACAACTGGAGAGTAAGAGAGGATTCCGAGTTAGAGAGGATTTGCTTTGACATAGGTAAGAGAGAAAAAAGGGGATTCCGAATTAGAGAATCTCATCCCTCAACAAATAAAACAGTTAGCGAGGATTCCGAATTAGAGAAGAAGTCAGAAACACATTTGGATAATTAGAGAAATTTGCGAAATCAACGGAAGTGTTACACGAATGTGTTGAGTTAGAGGGGGTTCCGAATTAGAGATGATTATGTTTTTAATGCAAAACCAAGTTGAAGAGTTAGAGAAAAGTCCAACTTAGACCGTATGTGTTAGAACAAGATTTAGAGAGTTAAAGAGGTCCTGGGTTAAAGAAAGAATGATCAATAATCTGGACTGGTAGAGAGGCATCCGAAATTGAAAGGAGGTTCAAACAAGAATTTGCAGCGTTAGAGGGGATCCCGAATTAGAGAGGAATTCCGAGATAGAGGGGAATTGTAACAATAATGTGAATGATTACCTCGGATTCCGAACGAGAGAGATTTGTATGAAGGTTTAAAGGAATTCCTGGCTCAGAGAGGAAGTTTAAACAATACTTTGGAGGGCTAGAAAGGATTCCGAATTAGAGAGGAATTTGAAAAATACGTAGCCCCCCGCAGTTGCGGATCAGAATGAGGGGGCGGCGGGGACGTCGGCAGTCTGCGAGGCTTTGAAGAAGCCCGCCGCAGGCGCATACATTTTCAAGCTATACAACGAGCCCGCCCCGCCGCCGTTTTCTTTGTGGAAACAATGTAGGAGGGTCGCGGGTTGGGTCGTAGGTGGGTCGCGGGTGGGTCGACTGTGGGTCGCGGGTGGGTCGCGGGTGGGTCGCGGGTGTTTCGCGGGTGGGTCGCGAGCGGGACGCGGGGTGGGTCGCGGGTGGGTCGCGGTTGGGTCGCGGGGTGGGTCGCGGGTGGGTCGCGAGGTAGGTCGCGGGTGGGTCGCGGGCCGGGTCGCGGGGGGGACGACAACAACAACAACAACAATCAGAATCCTCACCAGGGATCCGCACTTCAGCCACGCACCCAGGGACAATGAATGACCGTTCGGCCCCCTCACTCTGATTAGAGAGTTCGAAAAGATTCCGAGCTAGAGGTCAGAGTGAGGGGGCCGAACAGTCATTCATTGTCCCTGGGTGCGTGGCTGAATAGGGCACTCGTGGTGAGAATTCTGCTTGTTGCGTTGTTGTTGTTGTTGTTGTTGGTGGTGTTGTTGTTGTTGTTGTTGTTGTTGGTGTTGGTGTTGCTGTTGTTGCTGCTGTTGTTGTTTGTTGTTGTCGTCGTCCCACCCGCGACCCACCCGCGACCCAACCGCGACCCACCCCACGACCTACCCCGCGACGCACCCGCGACCCACCCCGCGACCCACCCGCGACCCACCCTGCGACCCACCCGCGACCCACCCGCGACCCACCCGCGACCCACCCCGCGACCCGGCCCGCGAACCACCCCGCGACCCATCCGCGACCCGGCCCGCGACCCATCCGCGACCCATCCGCAACCCACCTGCGACTCACCCCGCGACCCACCCGCGACCCACCCCGCGACCCACCCTGAAGGGAGGAAAAAACACCCGGACCCGACAATTGACGTTTACTGAACGGCCCTGGGCGTTTACTAAACAGCCCTGTTCGATCCATTCCTTGTGTGCGTTCACTAAACAGCTTCGCTTGTCGGGATGACTATTATGGGGTGAATTTTCTGCCCTCTACACCCGCGGCCCACCCGCGACCCAACAGCGACCCACCCGCGACCCGATTGCAACCCGCCCGCGACCCACCCGCGGCCTACCCACATTGGCTTAACCAAAAAATCGGCGCCTGCGCCGGGCTCGTTGTATAATTTGTGAAACGATGGCGCCTGTGGCGGGCTTCTCCGAAGTCTCGCAAACTGCCGACGTCCCCACCGCCCCCATCACTCTTATCCGCATCTGCGGGGTGCTACGTTTTTAAAACATAAGTTGGAGAGTTAGAGGATTCCGAGTTAGATCGGAAGAATAGCAAATGGAGTCAGAGAGGAGTCCGAGTTAGACTGGAGCTTTACAAACAAATCGGAGAGTTAGAAAGGATTCCGAGTTATAAGGGAATTCAACAAATTATGTGAGTTGAGCAAAAATTTGTTAAACGATAAGAGAGGATCCTGAAGTGGAGAAGAGTTAAAATAATGAAGATTCCGGGTTAGAGGAAGTAGACAAATAATTTGGAGAGGTCGGCGAGGCTTCCGAGTTACAATTGGAAAAAAGAATCTGGATAATTCGAGAGGGTCCGAGTTAAAAGTTTTTTAGACTGACGAAGGACCCGACCATAAACAATTGTGGATACCGCCTTCCTATGGGGCCACGAACCGTGTGAGTGGTGTGCCGGAATGGACGGGGAACCGCATGCGAACCTTGCCACTGGGGCCTTCGGTGGAGCTCCCTATGGGGCCACGGAACGTGTGAGGGGTGTGCCGAACTGGGCGAGGAACCGCATGTGGACCCTGCCACTGGGGCCTTGGGTGGAGCTCCCTATGGGGCCACGAAACGTGTGAGGGGTGTACCAGGATGGGCGAGGTGGACGCATGCGGACCCTGCCACTGGGGCCTTCGGTGGAGCTCCCTATGGGGCCATGAACCGTGCCGAAACGGGCGGGGAACCGCATGCGGACCCTGCCACTGGGGCCTTCGGTGAAGCTCCCTATGGGGCCACGAAACGTGTAAGGGGTGTGCCGAAATGGGCGGGGCGGACGCATGTGAACGTGGTCACTGGGGCATTCGGTGGAGCTCCTGATGGGGCCACGAACCGCGTGAGGGGTGTGGTGAAATGGGCACGCGGTGGGCGGGGTGGACGCATGTGAACGCGGCCACTGGGGCCTTCGGTGGAACTCCCCGTGGTACCACGAACCGTGTGAGGGGTGCGCCGAATTGGGCATGCGGTGGGCGGGGTGGGCGCATGTGATCGCGGCCACTGGGGCCTTGGGTGGAGCTCCCTATGGGGGGGGGGGGGCCGAAATGATCATGCGGTGGGCGGGGTGAACGCATGTGAACGCAGCCGTTGGGGCCTCGGGTGGAACTCCCTATGGGGCCACGAACCGTGTGAGCGGTGTGCCGAAATGGGCATGCGGTGGGCGGGGTGGACGCATCTGAACGCGGCCGCTGCGGCCTTCGGTGGAGCTCCCTATGGGGCCACGGACCGTGTGAGGGGTGTGCCGGCATGGGCATGCGGTGGGCGGGGTGGACGCATGTGAACGTGGTCACTGGGCTGACCCTTTTGGTGGAGCTCCCTATGGGGTCACTAACCAATGAGGGGTGTGCCGACATGGGCATGCGGTGGGCGGGGTGGACGCATGTGAACGCGGCCACTGGGACCTTGGGTGGAGCTCTTTATGGGGCCACGGACCGTGTGAGGGGTGTGCTGACATGGGCATGCGGTGGGCGGGGCGGACGCATGTGAACGCGGCCACTGGGGCCTTGGGTAGAACTCCCTATGGGGCCACGAACCGTGTGAGGGGTATGCCGACATGCGGTGGGCGGGGTGGACGCATGTGAACGTGGTCACTGGGGCCTTAAGTGGAGCCCCCAATGGGGTTAGGCTACGAACCGTGTGAGGGGTGTGCCGAAATGGGCATGCGGTGGGTGGGGTGGATGCATGCGAACCCTGCCACTGGGGCCTTGCGCGCCATGCTCCCTATGGGGTCGCGAACAATGTGAGGGGTGTGCCGACATGGGCATGCGGTGGGCGGGGTGGCCGCATGTGAACGCAGCCACTGGGGCCTTGGGTGGAGCTCCCTTCTGGGGCCACGGACCGTGTGAGGAGTGTGCCGAAATGGGCATGCGGTGGGGGGGAAGGACGCATGTGAACGCGGCCACTGGGGCCTTGGGAGGAGCTCCCTATGTGTGAGGGGTGTGCCGACATGGACATGCGGTGGGCGGGGTGGACGCATCTGAACGCGGCCACTGGGGCCTTGAGCTCCCTATGGGGCCACTGACCGGGCGAAGGGTGTGCGGGAACAGTTAGGCATGTGGTGGGCAGAATGGATGCATATGAACGCGGCCGCTGGGGCCTTCGGTGGAGCTCCCCATGTGTGAGGGGCGTGCCGACATGGACATGCGGTGGGCGGGGTTGACGCATCTGAACGCGGCCACTGGGACCGTGGGTGGAGCTCCCTATGGGGCCACGAACCGTGCGAGGGGTGTGCCGAAATGGGCATGAGGTGGGCGGGGTGGGCGCATGTGAACGCGGCCACTGGGGCCTTAGGTGGACCCCTCTATGTGTGAGGGGTGTGCCGACATGGGCATGCGGTGGGCGGGGTGGCCGCATGTGAACGCGGCCACTGACCCCTTCGGTGGAGCTAGGACCGTGCGAGGGGTGTGCCGAAATGGGCATGCGGTGGGCGGGGTGGACGCATGTGAACGCGGCCACTGGGGCCTTCGGTGGAGCTCCCTTTAGGGCCACGGACCGTGTGAGGAGTGTGCCGACATGAGCATGCGGTGGGCGGGGTGGACGCATGCGGGACTCCGTGGGCGGCGGCCGCAGGCTGCAGCAAAACCGCAACGCCAGCCGGGACCAGGACGCTGTGGGCGGCGGTGACCGACACTTGGAACCATCGCAGTGCCCACGGAAGGCCAGACCCTTCGGGCGGCCATCCGAAAACACAACAGCCGAAGCAAGCGGGACCTGGGACTCTACCCTGAGATCCTGGCGGCTCCATTTTTTGAGCCGGGCGTTCTCGCTCACTTGCGGGCCCCGGGGCCTTCACCGATCAATCGGGCTCGAAAAAGGACGCAGAGAGATGGGGTCTCCGGGGGTCTGGTCGTCGTTTTCTGCGATGCTACAACTCTTTGCAACTTCGGATCTCAGGGTAGGGGCGGCCATCTGAAATCACAGCAGCCGAGGCCCGTGGGACCTGGGACCCTATCGGTGCCGACCGGACATCGCCACAATCATGGACAGCAGAACTGTGACTCTCGGTGCGGCCACAGGTAATCGGATCAATTCGGGTCATGTGAATCGGAGATCCTGTGGGCGACAACTAGAAATCGCGACAGCCAAGACCAATGGGATCCAGGGCCGACGGAATACAGGACCCAGTGGACGACGACAATAAATCTCAACTAACAAAACCTCTGCTCCCCAGGACAAATAATAAGAATCTCTTAGTGCGCACGCTGCTTGGGGGACTGAACGGAGCGGAGTGCAGGTGGGATGTAGACAGGAGGTAGAAGAAGCGCACGAACTACGTAAAGCAGATCGTGCCCATCACGTGATGGATGCATGAGAAGAAGGGGATTGAAGGGGGCTGGGAGGAGGATGAGGGGCGAGAGAATACTGTAGCTAAGAGGCGTGGAGAGGAGGATGAGAAGCGGGGCGGAGAGGGGGAACTGGGGTTGGTGGAGCAGAGGACAGGAAGGAGAAGCAGGAATAGTAACATGAGCAGTCCCACGGCTCTTGGGGTATGGCCAACAGCCTTCAGCTCTCGTCGTAGTCGTCTTTATCCTCTTCCTGCTCCTGCTCATCCTCCTCCTGTTAAAAAAATCCTCGACGAAGACGAGCCCCTCTCAAACATCGAACCCCGAAACTCTCGCAAGGTGCGTTTTGACCATTTCAAAGAAACCCAGCCGTGACCACGAGAGCATCCCAGGAGTCCCCAGAAGACGACGACGACGGCGAGGACCCCAGAAACGACGACAACGCCGCCGCCGACGCTGCCGACGACGGCGACGACGCCTCGTCGCCACAAGCTCACGCTCACCGAGCGTAGAGCGACATCCGCGTCTAGGGGAACGAAGAATGACATAAACATAACAACTCCGCCTGGATTTCTCGGATCGGCGCTGGACCCCCCTCCCTGGCGCGCGGAGCGCGCCAGGGGCGGCGCTGGAGGCGCCGCCAGGGGTGTTCAGCGCGGCTCCGAGAAATCCGCGCGGACCTCAGAGTTCAGGAGGAAAATTAACCTACCTCGCTTTTGACCACCCTCGCTTCCAAAAGATCCCAAACGGTACCAGGCGACGGCCCGCACCAGTCAGGTCGCTTGACCAGGAGGCGCGTGGTATGACTTGGTGTTTTGCCTGGAAGCGACAAGCGGGGTAGGTCAGTCACGCTCTGAGAGTTGCTATGTTTATGTCCTTCTTCGTTCCCCACAGCGTCGCCCCGCCGAAGACCTCTTCGAACCGCCGACACGCCACTTGGGAACCCCCAAACCGGGTGGTGAGATACCAGGTGGCGACCTGGAATCCCCAAAAAGGTCACCGCTGGGTTTGGGGACGCGGGGTCACCACCGGGTTTTGTGACTCCTGGACCCACCAGTGTCCGGGACATCCTCGGAAAACCGCACGGGTCCCCAAACCAGAGTGACACCAAATCGCCCGAGACTCACCGCCAGGTGTTGTCACCACCACGCTTGGGGACCACCAAGCCACTGGAAGCCCTGCAGCCCACGAGCCCGGGAGCGGCCGCGACGGCGCACACGCGACGCGCGGCGCCTCCAGGAGCAGCAGCGTGCAGCGGGCGCCGCCGTGCTCCATGGGGGCCCGGGTGCTGCCGGGGGCGGCCCCGGCCCGAGGTGCCCCGAGGTGCCCCGAGCTCCTCGCGCCGCCTTTTGGGAGCCCCTCGGGCCCTCGGGCGCGCTGCTTCACTTTCGGCGATCACGGGCGTCACAGGGGAGGGGGGGGGGGGGAGGGGGGGTTATAGCGCAACACGCCCACCCCCCCTCCGCCGTGCCGCTCCCCGGCACCACAGCCGCGCCCGCGCGCACTGGCACGACGACGATGAGCGACGAGCGACGAGCGACGAGCGCTGAGCGACGAGACACGAGCGACGACGACGACGACGACGACGAGGACGACGACGACGAGGACGACGTCGAAGGGGGGTACGTAAGATGGTACCGCTTCCGCGTGCACCACGGCGCCTGCGCGCACGAGCCGCGAGCAGGGGCCACACGAGTCACGACCAGTTCAGCACCATCTGCGTGCACCACGGTGCCTGTGCGCACCACAAGGCCTGTGTGCACCTCTGGGGCCCTGTGGGGTCCCGGCGGGGCCAGCAAATCGTGGGGGCGGCCGGTATGAACAAATTGAAATGATTGTGCTTATTCCCGAAACAGCTTGCTGAACGGGGTGCTGTTGTGAAAGAGGCGAACTCCAGCCGAGGGAATTCAAAGCAGAGACGTCCTCAACAAAAATTTGGTGGTCCGGGCCGTTTCCCCTGAGACATCCTCGCAACTCTCGCTTCTGAGTTGTCCGGGATTGGGCGTTCCGAGTGAAACATTCTCCAAACTCTGAAATCCCAACTGCTGCGCAAGAGGTGGTCCGGCCCGTTTCGCCTGAGACATCCTCGAAACTCTGATCTCCCAGATGCCGCGCGAGAGGTGGTCCGGCTCTTTTCGCCTGAGACATCCTCCAAACTCTGAGCTCCCAGATGCCGCGCGAGAGGTGGTCCGGCCCGTTTCGCTTACCACATCCTCCAAACTCTGAGCTCTGAGATGCCGTGCGCGAGGTGGTCCGGCGCGTTTCGCCTAATATCCTCGCAACTCTGAATTATGAGATGCCGCGCGCGAGGTGGTCCAGCCCATTTCGCTTGAGACATCCTCGAAACTCTTGGCTCCGAGATGTCGCGCAAGAGGTGGTCCGGCCCGTTTCGCTTACCACATCCTCCAAACTCTGAGCCCTGATATGCCGTGCGCGAGGTGGTCCGGCCCGTTTCGCTTGAGACATCCTCGCAACTCTGCGCTCTCTGATGCCGCGCGAGAGGTGTTCCGGCCCGTTTCGCTTGAGACATCCTCCAAACTCTGAGCCCGGAGATGCCGCCCAAGAGGTGGTCCGGCCTGTTTCACTTGAGACATCCTCACACTTTTGCATTCCGAGATGCCGCGCGAGAAGTGGTCCGGCCCGTTTCGTTTGAGACGTCCTCGAAACTCTGAGCTCTGAGATGCCGCGCGCGAGGTGGTCTGGCCCTTTTCGCCTGAAACATCCTCGCAACTCTGAGCTCTGAGCTGCCGCGCAAGAGCTGGTCTGGCCCGTTTCGCCTGAGACTTCCTCGCAGCTCTGACCTCGGAGATGCCGCGCGCGACGTGGTCCAGCCCGTTTCACCTGAGACATTCTCGCAACTCTGAGCTGAGATGCCCTGCGCGAGGTGGTCCAGCCCGTCTCGCCTGAGACAGCCTCGCAACTCTGAGCTCTGAGATGCCGTGCGCAAGGTGGTCCGGCCCGTTTCGCACAAGACATTCTCGCAACTCTGAGCTCCCAGATGCCGCGCAAGAAGTGGTCCAGCCTGGGGGCCCGGAAAAACACATGTTACATATCCCCCCTTGGACCCTGGGAGCCCCAGGAGGCCCAGAGAGCTTCAGGAGGCCGCAGGACGTCCAGGACAGGCCCCAGGGGTTCCCAAGAGGCTCCCAGGAGGCCCCAGGAGGCCCGCTATCAGAACGTGTCAAGCTAATACACATCCGGTGTCGATTCGATGATTTTTCCTGCTCTTGTAGCCTCCCCCCCATTCTGGAGGGCCCCGACGGCCACATGTTAGATATCCCCACCTGGAAGCCCCAAGAGGCTTCAGGAAGCCCCAGGTGAGGTCCGGGAGGCCACAGGAGGCCCAGGAGGAGGCCACAGGAGGTCACCAGGAGGCCCCAGGAAGCTCCCGCAACTCGGAGTTCTGAGACGCCGCGCTCGAGGCGGTTTGGCCCGTTTCGCCTGAGACTTCCTCGCAGCACGTTTCGCCCGAGACATCGTCGCAACTCTGGGGTCCGAGATGCCGCGCGCAAAGTGGTCCAGCCGATTCACCTGAGACATTCTCGCAACTCTGGGCTGAGATGCCCTGCGCGAGGTGGTCCAGCCCGTTTCGCCTGAGACAGCCTCGCAACTCTGAGCTCTGAGATGCCGTGCGCAAGGTGGTCCGGCCCGTTTCGCACACGACATTCTCGCAACTCTGAGCTCCCAGATGCCGCGCAAGAGGTGGCCCAGCCTGGGGGCCCAGAAGACCACATGTTACATATCCCCCCTGGGACCCTGGGAGCCCCAGGAGGCCCCAGAGAGCTTCAGGAGGCTGCAGGACGCCCAGGACAGCCCCCGGGGTCCCCAGGAGATCCCCAAGAGGCTCCCAGGAGGCCCCAGGAGGCCCCCTATCAGAACGTGTCAAGTTAATACACATCCGGTGTCGATTCGGTGATTTTTCCGGCTCTTGTGCCCCCCCCCCATTTTGGGGGGCCCCGACGGCCACATGTTAGATATCCCCACCTGGGAGCCCCGAGAGGCTTCAGGAAGCCCCAGGCGGGGCCCAGGTGGCCACAGGAGGCCTAGGAGGAAGCCCCAGGAGGTTCCCAGAAGGCCCCAGGAGGCCACAGGAGGCCCCCGCAACTCGGAGTTCTGAGACGCCGCGCTCGAGGTGGTCTGGCCCGTTTCGCCCGAGACTTCCTCGCAGCACGTTTCGCCAGAGACATCGTCGCAACTCTGGGGTCCGAGATGCCGCGCGCGAGGTGGTCCAGCCCGTTACGCTGGAGACATCCTCGCAACTCTGGGCTCCGAGATGCCGTTCGGGATGAAGAGGAGGATGAGGAGGAGGAGGAGAAGGAGGAGAAGGAGGAGGAGGAGGAGAAAGGGGGAAACGAAAGAGGAGGAGGAGGAGGAGGAGGAGGAGGAGAAGGCAAAGGAGGAGGCGGAGGAAGAGGAGGAGGAGGAGAGGGAGGAGAAGGAGAGAGAGGAGGAGAAAAAGTTTTCACCGGGAACACAAAATCCGCCGACCCCTTGGGGATCATCGGCGTGTGAGATGCTTTCCCCCTCCCCAAACCCCTCCCCCGGGAGCCTGGTCCGGTCGATTTGGAGGGGGGGGGGGGGTCGACCACGAGCGCGTCATGGGGCTCTTTCGGTCCCAAGAGGGGCTACAGACCGCCCAGGAATGCCCCAAGAGGCCTCCAAGACCGCCCACGAGCGCCTCGAAACGCCAAACGAGCGCTCGGAGACGCCCAAGGTGTGCCCAAGACAGCCCAAGAGGCCTCCAAGACGTCCCAAGAGGTCCCCAAGAGGCCTCTTGGGAGCGGCCCAAGAAGCCAAAATCGTTGATTTTCCATTGGTTTTTGAAGGAAGGGGGCCTTCTCGCCCTTTCGGCTTTCCGACGCTCCAAGACGGCCCAAGAAGCTCCCAAAACCGCCCCAAGACGGCCCAATATTCCCCCAAGACGGCCCCAAGACGGCCAGAGAGGGCCCAAAGACGGCCCAAGAGCCGCCCCAGACGGCCCAAAAGGCTCCCAAGACGAGCCCAAGAGGGGGTGAAGAGGGGGTGAAGAGCGCAAAAGTGGACCCTGCCAAACCATCCCAAGGCAAATTTCGAACCCTCGGCCCCAAGAAGCCCCCAAAAGGATCCAAGAGGCCCCCAAGAAGCCACAAATAAGCCCCAACAACCCCCGAGAGGCCCACAATAGACCCCAAGAGACCCCAGAACGGCCCCCAAGAGACTTCAAGAGTGCTCCGAGAAGGCCCCTGACAGACATACCAGGACACCTTCAAGAGGCTCCAAAGACGGCTGCAAGAAGGGGGGACAATGTACATCAAGGGGTCGGCGGTGTGGCGTAAGCCCAAGAATCACAATTTCGGACCCCTATGCGGATCCCAGTGCGTGTCCCTCCCCATGCGGATTCCTCGGCGGATCCCTATTCGGATGCCTGCGCGGATCCCAATGTGGATGCTTATGCGAATCCCGATGCAGATGCCTATGCGGATGCCCATGCGCATTGCCACGCGAATCCATATGCGAACCCCTAGGCGGATGCTTACGCAGATCCCTATGCGGATGCGCATGCGCATCCCTATGCGGATCCCCATGAGATTCCCAATGCTGACAAGACCCCGATGCGGATTATCCTGCGGACGCCCATGCGGATCCCGATGCGCACGGCGGCAGTGACCAGAGAGTACTTCGGGGGCGATACGTCATAGGGGGGCGGAAGCCAAGGGCTATAACGCCCGTCATGCCCAAAGCACTAAAGAAACACGCTCCTCTCGGGGCCTCGTGGCGGGGCTCTCCGGAGGCCCTCGACCGGCGGCGCCCGCGAGGGGGAAGCGCGGGGGGCACGCCTTCTCCGAGGCCCTCCGGCCTGCTGTCAAGGGCCGCCGTGGCTCTGGCAAAGGTTCTTAGAACGCTTTTCAAGCTTGAGCAGGGACCGACCGTCCTGGCATTCCCATAGGCCTACCACGACAAGTTCCTAGAGCCCAGAAGCGTTCGACTAACAATAGCAATGTTCTTAGAACATGCGCCAGAGGTGTTCAAACAAGACAGTCTCAGCCAGAAATGTTCTAAGAACAGAAAGACATTTCGTTCAGACCACAAAAAGCTTCTGCGGTGGGCCTATAGGCCAGCCAGGACGCATCGCTACTGCTTGCGAACGGCCAGAGGCCTCCTGATCGGTGGTTCCGGGATGAGGCCCTGAGGGATGGGGTCCTGAGGACGAGGTGTCTCCAAGCATGCAAACCCACCCGTGGACCCTCTCCTGCCCTCAGGACCCCACCCCTCAGGACCCCATCTTGGAACCACCGGTGAGAAGGCCCGCCCCCTCTGCCTTACCCCGCGAGCGCACCGCCGAATCGAGGCCGTTCCTGCAGGAGCCAGGGCGCCACCCAGGGCCCAGGGTGGTCTTGGGAGCCTCCTGGGGCGTCTCGCAGCGTCGGGAAGCCGCATTATCCAGAAGGCCCAACTCGCTCAAAAGCCTTGAGAGAAGCGCTGGCTTTTTGCCTCTGGAGGCCCTCTTGGAGGCACCCCGTGGCAGCACCCGGACGGTCAGGCGCCCCGCCCGCAACTCGGCTGGGGCGGCCATGGCGGCGATGTGCGAGCGCGGGGGGGGGGGGGGGCAGAGCGCGCCCCAGCGAGCGCCGCGGGGTGGCCTCGAGCACCGTTGGCTTGCCGGCGACGACGACCACCACCACGTCCCAGGGCGACGAGCGCGTCGCTCCTGCTCCTCCTCCTCCTTCTCCGCCTCCTCCTCCTCCTCCTCTCCAACTCCTCCTGTCTCCGTTCTTTTCCTTATGAATGAACTGTTCCCTGTCGCGCTTCGAAGCCGGTTTAGGGCGGCCGACGTTCGGCCTGAGACTTCCTCACCACGTATGCCTCTGATGTGTAAGATTTGAAAGAGCTTCACGGATTGAGGGCGGGTGGTTTTCAAAATGTGGCTCTCGAATTGGCGCCGCGCATATTTGTTTTAATCAGTTGCAAGAGCTTCACGGATGGAGGGCGGGTGGTTTTGGAAATGTGGTTCTGGCCTTAGCTCCGCGCACATTCGTTTTTTCAAACTTTGCAGAAGTTTCACGGATTGAGGGCGGGTGATGTTCAAAATGTGGTTTTCGCCTAAGCGACGCGCACGTTCGTGTTAAACAGATGCAAGAGTTCCACGGATTGCCATCATCAACATACCAGAGGTGGTGTTTTGGACGGAGTCTAGATCATGCGGGCGCAACAATTACGATGATTCGCCGTGTTGTGGAATCCCAAGAATGACGTTTTGGCACGACTCAGGATCGCAAAGATGCAACAATCAGGTTGGTCCGTGGAGTTGGAATCCCGAGAACTATAATTTGGAACGCTTCAGCGTCTTCAAGCGGTTGTCCTGCAACGAGGCAGTTCCGTCAGTGGACATGAACCGCTGCAGGGGCCTGTGAAGAGGGGGAGGGTTTATCTCAACATCGTAGATGACTCTCGGGTGTGCACTTAAGTCGGGCCTGTCCCCCTACAGGGGGATTTTCGCTGACAAATAAAAGATACCCCCGAAATAATCCAAAAATCAGCAGAAAATAATCTGGGGACTATTTTTCCCCATATCCTAAGGATTGGGGTTCTTGTTATTACTCTGACGCCTCCCACGCGCGGACTCCTTCCTCCCGCTCGCGCCTCCCTCCTCCCAATGATAATCACCAGATAAGACCAGACAAGATAAGATACTACAAGATAAGATAAGATAGCACAAGATATGATAAGGTGAGATAAGATATATGACAAGGTAGGAGAATAGATAAGATAAGACAGCCTATGAAGTAATAAGATAATACGAGATATGGTGCGATAAGATGAGTTGATATAAGATAAGCTAAGACAAGATAAGAGATTTCAAGATAAGATGAGATAGAGGGTAATAAAGGTAATATAAGATAGGACTCGATAAGATAAGATGAGACTCGCTCTCACTCAGACTCACTCGCAGTCACATTCACTCACACTCACACTCTCTCATGATCACAAAACGCTGCCAGGGGCATCATTTGGGAGCCCCAAGGGGGAGCCACCCTGGCTGATCTCACGAGCCCGTTCGCGCCGATTTTGGTGGGACGTCTCAGCTAGAATTGCCGTTTGGCCTCCCCAACATGTATCTCTTGAGAGCCTCATGGTCACAAAACGCTGCCAGGGGCATCATTTGGGAGCCCCAAGGGGGAGCCACCCTGGCTGATCTCACGAGCCCGTTCGCGCCGATTTTGGTGGGACGCTCAGCTAGAATTGCCGTTTGGCGCCCCCAACATGTATCTCTTGAGAGCCTCATGGTCGCAAAACGCTGCCAGGGGCATCATTTGGGAGCCCCAAGGGGGAGCCACCCTGGCTGATCTCACGAGCCCGTTCGCGCCGATTTTGGTGGGACGTCTCAGCTAGAATTGCCGTTTGGCGTCCCCAACATGTATCTCTTGAGAGCCTCATGGTCGCAAAACGCTGCCAGGGGCATCATTTGGGAGCCCCAAGGGGGAGCCACCCTGGCTGATCTCACGAGCCCGTTCGCGCCGATTTTGGTGGGACGCCTCAGCTAGAATTGCCGTTTGGCCTCCCCAACATGTATCTCTTGAGAGCCTCATGGTCACAAAACGCTGCCAGGGGCATCATTTGGGAGCCCCAAGGGGGAGCCACCCTGGCTGATCTCACGAGCCCGTTCGCGCCGATTTTGGTGGGACGCTCAGCTAGAATTGCCGTTTGGCCTCCCCAACATGTATCTCTTGAGAGCCTCATGGTCACAAAACGCTGCCAGGGGCATCATTTGGGAGCCCCAAGGGGGAGCCACCCTGGCTGATCTCACGAGCCCGTTCGCGCCGATTTTGGTGGGACGCCTCAGCTAGAATTGCCGCTTGGCGTCCCCAACATGTATCTCTTGAGAGCCTCATGGTCACAAAACGCTGCCAGGGGCATCATTTGGGAGCCCCAGGGGGGGTCCACCAGGGGCTTCATAGTCACCAAACGCTGCCAGGGGCAGCATTTTGGCTTCCCAAAGAGGAGTCGACCCGGGCCTCCTAGTCGCCAGACACTGCCAGGGGCACCATTGGGATTCAGACTCGCACCCAGACTCACTCATACACAAGCTCACTCACACTCAGATTCATTTCTTCAGAGTCAGGCACACACAGACGTACCCATACTCAGACTCACCCACACTCAGGCTCACCTAACCCAGACTCCGTCAGAAGCCAGTAGCGAAGAGAGCAGAGAGGAGAGAGAGAGAGAGAGAGAGAGAGAGAGAGAGAGCGGGAGAGAGCGAGAGAGAGAGAGAGAGAGAGCGAGCGAGCGAGCGAGCGAGCGAGAGAGAGAGAGAGAGAGCGAGGAAGAGAGAGAGAGAGAGAGGAAGATAGAGAGAGAGAGAGAGGAGAGAAAGAGAGAGAGAGAGAGAGAGAGCAAGAGAGAGAGAGAGAGGAAGCGAGAGAGAGGGAGAGGAGAGAGAGAGAGAGAGAGCGGAGAGAGAGAGAGAGGGGGGGAGTTGAGAGAGGAGACAGGCGAGAGAAAGAGAGAAGAGAGAAGAGAGAGAGAGAGAAGAGAGAAGAGAGAAGAGAGAAGAGAGAGAGAGAGAGAGATAGAGATAGAAGAGAGAGAGAGAGAGAGAGAGAGAGAGAGAGAGTAGAGAGAGAGAGAAGAGAGAGAGAGAGAGAGAGAGAGAGAAGAGAAGCGAAGAGAAGAGAAGAGAGAGATAGAGAGAGAGAGAGAGAGCGAGAGACGAGAGAGAGAGAGAGAGCAGAGAGAGAGAGAGAGAGAGAGAGCGGGAGAGAGCGAGGGAGAGCGAGAGAGAGCGAGAGAGAGCGAGTGAGAGCGAGAGAGAGAGAGAGAGAGCGAGAGAGAGCGACAGAGAGCGAGAGAGAGCAAGAGAGAGCGAGAGAGCGAAAGAGAGAGAGAGAGAGAGAGAGAGAGAGAGAGAGAGCGAGGGAAGAGAGAGAGAGAGAGAGATAGAGAGAGAAAGAGAGAGAGAGAGAGATATAGAGAGAGAGAAGAGAAGAGAAGAGAAGAGAAGAGAAGAGAGAGAGCGAGAGAGAGAGAGAGGGAGAGTGAGAGAGAGAGGAGAGAGCAGAGAGAGAATAGAGAGAAGAGAGAGAGGAGAGAGAGAGAGAGAGAGAGAGAGGCAGAGATAGAGGCAGAGAGAGAGAGGCACAGAGAGAGAGGCAGAGAGAGAGAGAGAGCAGAGAGAGAGAGGCAGAGAGAGAGGCAGAGAGAGAGAGAGAGCAGGGAAAGAGAGGCAGAGACAGAGAGAGGGCAGAGAGAGAGAGAGAGACAGAGAGAGCAGAGAGAGAGAGAGAGGCAGCTCAGTCACACTTAAATCCAGATTCGTCCTCACCGAGTCCCACCACCAAGGGAGCGCCAGCAAGGAGATGCACATATGGGGATCCCCACGCAGTGAATAATTTGAATATGTTTTTTACCTTTTTGGTGTATTTTGGGGGTATGTTGTATTTTTCGTCGAAAATCCCCCTGTAGGGGGACACGCCCGACTTAAGTGTACCCTGGTCCTCCTCCTCCTCCTCCTCCTCCTCCTCCTCCTCCTCCTGCCTCCCCGTGCCTCCTCCTGCCTCCTCCTGCCTCGTCCTGCGATCCCCTTCCCACCGTTCGCCCTCCACCCTCCAATCTCCTCCACGCTCCCGCCGCCATGCCTCCTCCGTTGACGCTGCACCGGCGCTGCTCCAACGATCGCAGCGCGGGAAAGCGCGCGGGCTGGCAAAGAGGAACGCACACGTGCGAACACGTGGAAGGGCAGCGAAGGGCGGTAAGGTGGAGGGCCCCGCGAGGGCATAGAGGGGCGCACAATGACAAGGTCTCCCAAGAGCCCACCCCACCTCAGCTCAAGCCTCTCCCCTCGCAGATTCCCGTCTTGTGCTATGGCGCGCTGTTCCGTCGAATGTTGCTCATGAGGCTCGGCGGCGGGCTGTGCCCGCCAACGGGGCTGCGGGCCCACGTAACGATTCCCCTGTCGCGCGAAGTGCACAATTTCCTCCACCCTTTCCCATTCGCCCTCCTCCCCCTCCTCCTTCTCCTCCTCCTTATCGGTCTCCTCCTTCCTTATCCCCTCTCGTCATCATGACTCGTTCCTGCTCCTCATTCGTCCCCCTTCCTCCCTACCTCCCTTCCTTCCTCATCCCTCCAAATCGTCCATTGTCCCTCCCTCCCTCCCGTCATGCCTCCTCCTCCTCCTCCTCCCTCCCTCCTCCTCCTCCTCCTCCTCCTCCTCTCCTCCTCCCCCCTCCTCCTCCCCCTCCCCCCCTCCTCCTCCTACTCCTCCTCCTGCTCATTCTGACTCCCTTCGCCTCCTCCTCCTCCTCCTCCTCCTCCTCTCCTCCTCCTCTTCCTCCTCCTCCTCCTCCTTCATTCCACTCCGTTCTATTCCTCCCTCCCTCCCTCCCTCCCTTCCTCCCTTGTGATCAATCCTCTCTCCGACCGCTATCACCCTGTCCGTCCACATCCTACCTCCTCCTATCCCCTCCTCATATTCTCTCCTCCACCCTCCACATCCTGACTCCCTCATCATCCGCCCGCATTCTCTTCCCTCCCTCCCTTCCTCCCTCACTTTCCTGCGCCGCGCCATGCGCGAAAATGGTTTCCATGCCGCTTTCCTGCCACGCATGCGCGCTGCCAAACGCACCCGTCACTGGGGACCCATCTCGGTGGCGCTGATCCGGACCTCTCGACCGCAAACGGGGGGGCACTCTTTCGCCCCGGGCTGGCTCTTGCTGGTACCGGGGCCCTGCGGCGGCACCGCTCGAAAACCCGATGGCTCAAAGATGGGGTCCTGAGGGATGGTGTCCTAAAGATTCGACCGGAAATCCGACGTTACGTAAGAATCGCAACATCGCAGACAAGCACGACCAAACCCCTGGACCCCATCAATTCTGCGCGTGGTTTCTCATGTCGGATCGCTGTGTGAGGGCCCCCGGGCCCGCAATGGAGCGAACACGCCCGGCTCGAAGCAATGGAATCGCCAGGACTTGGGGGGAAGGGATCCTATAGGGTGGAGTTATACCTTGTCTGAGGCGCCTCGGCCCCAGGGCCCCAGCCCTCGGGGCCCCACCTTGGAGCCGCCGACAGAGACTGTGACCAGACCCCCAGGGGCAGCGGGCACACACGCGTCCTGGGGGCCCGGGGCCGACAGCAGCGCGCCTCCTCGGAACGCTAGGCGGCAACTCGTGCTGGCCATCGCTCGGACGTCCATTCCCTGTGTTTTTTTCGGTTTCGTGGGTGTTTTTTTCGCCAAATGATCAAGGATGCTCCTCGATCGCCCTCGCCGAGAAAAAAATGCACACGTCCGAGCGATGCCAGGCGTGGGATCCTCCCATACCATCTTGTCGGCTCTTGCGAATCGACGCTAGTCGACGCTACATCGACTCGAATCGACGCTAGCAGAATTCACTCGGCGCGCTAACTCATCGACTCCCAAACGCCAATCGACGCCAAAGACGGAATTAAAAGGTTATCCCCGGCTCCCATGAGTTGCTACCGAAGGAACGGGCTCGCGCAGGCTGCGGCGCAGCCTCGCTCTCGGACTCGGTCGCGAGCGTCAGCTCGCCGGACCGCGCGGAAAACTCGCGCTGGCCGCGGCAAAGGGTGGCGCGGGGGGAGACGAGGTGAGGGGCAACGATAAAGGGGGACTGGCATAGGGGAGGAAGCATCGACATGGAATCGGCGATACATCGGCGATATGCCCTCGATCGCAACTCAGCATGTTCCCGGGCGGGGTGGGGCTTTCAGACCTCTATCGGCGATCGATAAGCGATGAGGGGTCCTTGCGCCTCCCCTGTGCCCATCCCCCCTATCGTTGCTCCTGAGGAGGGGGGGGCCAGGAGGAGGGCCAAGGGCGATGCCGCGTCTGGCAAACATGAGTGGCACTGGACTTTCCGGCCAGGCAGAAGCCGTCGAGGGAAATCATTCATCGTGTGAGCCCTGAACCATTGAGGGCCCGCCGTGGGGAGAAAAGCAAGGGAGGGCACCCACAAGGCACTCGCAGCGATCCTGGCCAGGCCCACCCCGAGCCCGAACCTTGAGGCGCAGCAGGAGAGGCAGTCGCACCCCCGCAGGTCGGACTCCCGAGACACCGGCCGGGGCCCAGCATCCGAAGCATGTCTGCAGCCGAAGGAACCCCGGCGGGGGTGTCCGAGGCCGTGCACAGCGCCGACTGGACCCGCAGGGGCAGGGCCAACCGGCCAGTGGTCGCAGAGAAGAGGCAGCACAGGCGGGAGGCTGGCGACGAGAGGCAGGGTGCCGGGCCTCTGCGACCCTGCGACTCGGAAACGGGCTCGCGAGCCAGCCACGCCCATGTGTGGAACGATCTGCTCAAGCTACCCGTTGAGGGGGCAGGGTGCCGGCTGGGTGGGCGCGGCCTGCTCCTCGCTTGCCTCGGGTGGTGGGCGCCAGGCGACGGCGTGGCGGACGCAACGGGGTCCGCTCCGGCGCTGGCGCAGCGCAGCGGGAAAAGGATCGATCGATTGAGCTCTCGGGCCAAATCGGTGCTACTCCCCCTCGACTTTACAGCTGAGCTGCATTCAAGAATCTAACATGGCCTAGCTGGGTTCACTTCGTGGAGAAAGGGTGCAGGGAAAGGAGGAGCCAGAGGAGCAAGAGCAGGACAGGAAGGCGGGGAGAGCAGACGCAGCACAGCAGGGCAGGTCCAGGTGTGCCAGCAGAGTGGTGCCACGTGGGACACGACAGAGCCGAGGACGCACGCGTGCCGAGCGGGGAGAGGTGAGCGCAACGACCCACCCTCCCTCCGTGTCGGCGTGAGGTTGAGGCGCCAGAGCAGCTCAATCCAGGCCTCGGAACAAACTAGCGAACACATGCCACATTCATCCGTCAACGCCTCCCCCCCCCCCCAATGTTCAACGTTGGTGGTGGGTCTGATGAGATGCACTTCGACCGCAATCTCCCCCGCGCGTGCCAACATTGAGTTTGGGGGGGGAGGGGGAGTGTTCAGTAATTGTTTCCCTCTACCGTCACGCCTGTCGTGCTGGGGCGGAAGGTCCTAAGCGCACCACGGCAAATCCAAATTCTAATGCCAATGCCTCACCCACCCCTCCGCATTGGCCTGCCTTCCATTCGCCATCTGCCGTGTCCCCCCCCTCTCGATCGCAAGTCTCGAGGCATGATTCTCACAAAAATGCCCTTCATCGCAGATCGATCGAACCGCTTTTTCAAACGCTTCGAACAAAAATCTACGATAGCCCGATCGCTGGGAAGAGGGAGATCTCCATTTTGACATGATGTGAAACAGGTCCTCAGGGACCTGGGTCCTGGATTCGGGTAACACTGCCCCAAGCCCCAGGTATTCTCCGTTGTCTCCAGAGCACCCATCGCGAGGCCCAGAGACACCTCTGACAACCTCCGATGGATACCCTGAGCATTCCCTTGGGACCACTTGTTCACTCTGTGTTGTGTCCTCTTGTGACGGTGCTGGGGCCCAGAAGGGTCCTGGGAAGCCGGAAACAGCGAAACGCCCTTTCCGTCAAGAGCCCATCGATCTTCATTGGCGACCACTGGGTGCGCGTAACAGTCTGTAATATCCGCACCCACAGGCAGCCTCCGACTGAAGAGCTGCAACATGTTAAGACTTTGCAAAATGCGTCTAGCTCGCCAGCCGCTGGAACAGTGAGGCGGAGTGCGGGGCACGCGAAGTAACTGCGCTAATCCCCCTCCGAAGCTATTCGCCCCAGGCATCTCGAACGCCTGTCTTGCGCGCCGACGGTTTCGCTCCGCCCCATCAGCACAAGCGCCGAGAGCGCCGAACTGACTGCAGCGGGGGCGGCGCAGGGCGGGCCACTGGCACGCGAACACAAGAGCGAGGGCAAGAACAGAAGTGCACGCAACAGCCAAGCCCTGGGTCCTGGGCAACTACCATGAGGTCGGGCCTGTCTCCCTACAAGGGGATTTTGGATGAACACTTAAACATACTCAAACCATACTCCACTACGGTGCAAAAAACAACAATGACTCACTGCGTGGAGCCCCCCGTATGTGCATATCATGTTTTATGTTGGACGCCTCCTACTCCTCCTCCTCCTCCTTCCTCTTCTCGTCCCCTCCTCTTCTCGTCTCCTCACACGAGACTTACTCGTGTCCAGGCTTACTCACACACAGACTTACTCATACTGAGACCTACTCATACCCAGACTTACTCATACCCAGACGTACACATACACAAGCTTGCTCATACACAGACATACTCATTTCAGGCGGGTCTCAGGCGGGGCGCTGGTTTCAATACCCCTAAGGGGCGCCGCCAAGGGTGTTTGCACGGGCCCGTTCGCGGACAGCTTGTGGGGATGTCTCAGGCGGTTTGCTCGTTGTCATGCCCAACACCCTTGGCTTTCAGAGCAGACTGTGAAGATGTCTCGGGCGGGGCGCTGGTTTCAGCACCCCTAGGGGAGCCGCCAGGGGTGTTTGCACGGGCCCGTTCGCGGACAGCTTGCGGGGATGTCTCAGGCGGTGTGCTTGTTTTCGTACCCAACATCCTTTGTTTTCAGAGCAGATTGTGAAGATGTCTCAGGCGGGGCGCTGGTTTCAGCACCCCAGGGGGGGCCGCCAGGGGTGTTTGCACGGGCCCGTTCGCGGCCAATTGGTGGGGATGTCTTAAGCGGTTTGCTCGCTTTCATGCCCAACATCCTTGGCTTGCTGAGCAGATTTTGAAGATGTCTCAGGCGGTGCGCTGGTTTCAGCACCCCGAGGGGGCCGCCAGGGGTGATTGCACGGGCCCGTTCGCGGCCAGATTGTGGGGATGTCTCAAGCGGTTTGCTCGCTGTCATGCCCAACATCCTGGGCGTTCAGAGCAGAGTTTGAGGATGTCTCAGGCGGGGCGCTGGTTTCAGCACCCCGAGGGGGGCCGCCAGGGGTGTTGCACGGGCCCGTTCGCGGCAAGTGTTTGGGAATGTCTCAAGCGGTTTGGTCGTGTTCATGCCCAACGTCCTTGGCTTTCAGAGCAGATTCTGAGGATGTCTCAGGCGGGGCGCTGGTCTCAGCACCCCTAAAGGTGGCCGCCAGGGGTGTTTTCAGGGGCCCGTTCGCGGCCAGTTTGCGGGGATGTCTCAGGCGGTTTGCTCGTTGCCATGCCCAACATCCTTTTTGCTTTCAGGACAGATTCTGAGGATGTCTCAGACGGGGCGCTGGTTTCAGCACCCCTAAGGGGAGCCCCCAATTGTGTTTTCACGGGCCCGTTCGCGGCCAGTTTGTGGGGATGTCTCAAGCGGTTTGGTCGTTGTCATGCCCAGCATCCTTTGCTTGCAGAGCAGATTGCGAGGATGTCTCAAGCGGTGCGCTGGTTTCAGCACCCTTGAGGGGAGCGGCCAGGGGTGTTCTCTGTCGGCTGTCGGCGCGAGGGGCCGCCCTTGCGAGAACAGCGCTCCAGCGGGCAGGGGCCCGCAGAGTGGGGGGACAGGAGCGGGCCCTGGCGGGCGATGCCACCCCCCCCCGCCCGTTGCCAACTCGATGCTCGCTCCCACAGTAAGCGCCCTGTAGGGCGGGGGGGCGGAGCCATGACAGCCCGTCTCGCGCTTCATTCCAAAGCGCATGATCCACCCTGATTGCAGTTGCTTGTTTGGGCGTTGCTGCGCGCCCTTGCAACTGCGTCGTTCTCACAAAATGGAAAAGGTTGCGCCACGTATGGATCTCTTTCGCAGTCTCTTTCCTTTACCTACGCTTTATATAATGCTTTCATATGTGCGATGGTCGCCTGTTTGCCTTGCAGATCTTACAAGAAATCATAACGGTTCCAAATGGCAGCGTTTCTTCGTATTGCCCAGTTGCAGCCACAAACAGACAAACGCGTCGGTGCTGCACGCGAACATCGGCACGAAACACCAAGCCAATCGAATCGTGCGTGGAATGACCTGCCCACGTTGGCTTCCAAGCCGCCACGCGGCTCACCGAGTGCCGATCGGGACACGGGTGCTCCTGTGATGGAGGACCGGGTCGGGCCCCAACCGCTGGGACAGGGAACCCGACCCCCGACCCGGCCCCGAAACCTTTGTGGTGAAGCCCACCTTCGACTGTCAGTGCCCTCGCCACCGCCGCCGTGGCCGCCGCCGCCGCCGTCTCTGCCGCCTCCGCCGCCCCACGACTTGGCGAGGAGTGGCCTTGGAGCGGCGCGTCCGTCGACTCCGCGACCAGTCGCCCCCACCGCCACCGTGACCCTCCGTCACCTTCTGCCACCGCCGCCCTGCGCCGCCGCGAAGGCTGCGAGGCAGCGGCCGTCGGTGCGGGGCCTCGTCTCCCCCGTCGCTGGAGCGCCCGATCAGCATGCCCTGCGGCGCCGGCACCGTCAGCGGCGGGGGACAGGAAGGAAACCCCGACGACGAAGACGACGACAACGAGGACGAGGACGAGAACGACGACGACGAGGACGATGATGATGACGGAAGAAACCCAGGCATCCGTCGATGTGTTTTGCAATCTACGGCATCGTTCCAGATCAGCTGGCGGATTGCCGCGGGACCCAGGGGTGGGCCCTGAGACCGAAGCCGATGAGAAAATCACCCAGAATAGCAGACAGCTGTTTCGATGGGCGAGGGGAGTGTGGGGAAGTAAGAGGACGACTACGTTGACGACGACGACGACGACGACGACGACGACGAGGACGAGGACGAGGACGACGACGAGGATGAGAATGACGACGACGACGACAACGACGACGAGGACGACGACGGAAGAAACCCAGGCATCCGTCGATGTGTTTTGCAATCTGCGGCATCGTTCCAGATCAGCTGGCGGATTGCCGCGGGGCCCAGGGCCGGGCCCTGAGGCCGAAGTCGAGGAGAAAATCACCAGGATGGCAGACAGCTGTTTCGGTGGGAAGGGGAGGGTGGGGAAGGAAGAGGATCCCCGCACGCTGCGCAAGTGAGCAGTCGTCTCAGGGCGAACGCGCGGCGCGCGCCCGCGGCGGCCCGTAAAGCGGGACAGGCCTACGCGGGCGGGCCGTGCGACGCTCTCAGGCGGCCTCGTCCAACGAGGGCACCCGGGCGGCCAAGGGAGGCCGCAGCAGCGCCGCAGGTCAGCCTTCGAAGAAGGAGGGAGGAGAGAGGGAGGGGGCCGAGAAGCTGCAGACGACTGCAATCAGCGGGCGCGATGGGGATAAGAAGGAGCATCCCCGCACGCTGCGCAAGTGAGCAGTCGTCTCAGGGCGAACGCGCGGCGCGCGCCCGCGGCGGCCCGTAAAGCGGGACAGGCCTACGCGGGCGGGCCGTGCGACGCTCTCAGGCGGCCTCGTCCAACGAGGGCACCCGGGCGGCCAAGGGAGGCCGCAGCAGCCATACCCAGGCTCAAAGCCCTTGCGAAGTGACAAGGTTTCGGCGGGCGGCCGCGAGCTGAATGGGCCACACAGCTGGGCCAACATTCAGAAAGGATGCGACGAGGAGGTCGCTTGCTTCGGCGAGGTAAGAAACGCGGTCCCGAGCGGCTTCAGCCAATGATGGGAGGACTGCAGAGGCGGCAGCATCGTGGAGATAGCGCTCTGTACTGGAAGCTAGCCGCCAGCGATCACGCCAGAAGACGCGATTAATGCCGTCCGAAATATCGGTTCTGAAGCGCAGCGCAGGGGACAGATCGAACCCCGATGGCGCTCTGGCGAGCGGGACGCCCAGCGCCGAAAGAAGATCGAGCCACCGAGTGCGGAAGCCGCTTTGACCGAAGGTCAATAGGGGATCGGTGGGACTCAAATCTCTAAAGACCAGCTCCATCATCCTGACCACTGCACGATCGGAGCACCGAGCGTGTTGACGCTCTCCGCCAGACCCCCGGGCCTCCGGAACAGAGATGCTCAGCAAAGCGTCGCCCGAGGACTCACGGCGGTCAATGGGCAGAGTGAGGTCGCTCCGGCGGGCGGTTGCCAACTCACCAGGCCTCACGGACATAGTGAACCCGGCAAGCAGCAGGGTGGCCATATCCGGCCAGTCCCATGCGAGGCACAACGCTACCATGGCGCGCAGCAGAGCACGCGGTAGCGGTGGGAGGGGGCAGGGAGGCTTGGAAGGGATCCACCGCTCCGCCACATCCCACGCCTCGGTGAGGAAGCCCCTCCAGTGGGGCTGAAGGGCCTGTGCTCCCCGGATCGCATTCACGAGGACGAGGCGGGGGAAGCCAGCATCGTACAACCACACGCCGAAGGTCGCGAGCGCTCTCCCGAGCAAGATGCCGCTGCGAGCCCATGTGGCAAGTGCCACTCCTGTGTGCTCGGCGCACCACACGTCAAACGCCTTAAGCGAACGAGTGCGCTGGTCGCCGCAAGAGGGGACGCGCCGAGAGTGGCTCTCCACCTTCACCCCGAGGGCCTCGGAAGCCCCCTCGGGAACTGCAGGCTCCAGAGAGGCAGGCCAGTCCTGGCGCCCTGCCACGAAGGCTGACGCGGGCGGCTCTTGACCAGAGGGATTGGCAGGAGTGGTAGCTGCCGCTCCGGCGGAAGCCCGAACACGCCTGCGCTTGCGACGCGAGGTGCGGCCGCGTTGCTCGGCGCGGGGGGCCTCGACGACCTCGCCGGTGCTCGGCGCGGCTTCCGGCTGGCGGTCCGTGCCGTCCAGGATCAGAGGCCTGAGTCCTGGGGAGTGCTCGCGCCGCCTGCGGTCAACAGCGCACAGCGTCTCGGAAAACGCAGCCGAGCGGGTGGCGGCAGGTGCTGCGGAGCGGGAGCGCTCATCGCAACTAATGGCGGTCCGTGGCGTGACGGGCGCCGCAGAGCACGGGCGCCCGACGCCACGGCGCTCGCGCGGATGCGACGCCTGGGCGCCCGAATGAGCCCTAGCCTCGACCACGTCGCGATAGCTAGCCGTGTGCTTATCCGCACGCTCCTTCGCTTGAGCTGCAAAAGTAGCGCTACCAGCCGTGGCGGGAGCTCTCGGGGGTGCGCCGGCAGCGGCTGCGGCGGCGCCTCCACCCGAAAAGCCCGAGGCGGAAGCGGACCCTCTGACGCACTCGGCAGTGCGAGAGCGGGCGATGCGCAACGCAGCCTTCTGGCGCTCGAGCTCGGCCAGTGTCGTCTGCAAAAGCTCAGCCAGCTCTCCTGCACTTGGACCCCAAGCCTCCGCGCCTCGACCGAATTCAACTTCGGTAAGAGCGGCGTCGAGAACATCGACCGAGGCACGGAACCGCGCCAGAGCGCGCCGTTCGTCACGCACGCGCCTCGCAACCGTGGCCGTCGGGCCAACGACCCGGCTGGTGCGCAATGCTAATCCGGTGAGAGGATCGGCACGGGAGTCGGAACGGGTGAAGGCGTCAGCGAGCTGGTCGGTGCGGGCGTCGGCGAGCCCCTCGGCACGCGAGTCGGCGATCTGGTCGGCGCGGGAGTCGGCGAGCTGGTCGGTGCGGGAGTCGGTGAGCTGGGAGGGCTGCAAGTCAGTGAGCTGGTCGCCGCGGGACGCGGTGAGCTGGGCGGCGCAAGAGTCGGCACGCTGGCCGGCGCAGCAGGAGTCGGCAAAGCTGGGAGCCAGCGACACCTCGCTGCGCTCTGCGCTGTGGCCCCACGGAAGCACGGCCCTGTGTTGTGCCGCCCCGGCGGTGGCCGCACTGGCAGCCCGCTCGCGGGTAGCACGCAGCATAGCCGCTGCGCCCAGCGAGCGCCCGGCCAGCAGGGCAGGTGCAGAGCTGGCGCGCGGCGCGACGCTATGGGCGTCGGCGCGGCACCCTGGCAGGGGGGGCAGGGTGCTGGCTCGAAAGGGCGGGAGCACCGCGGCCGCGGTACGGGCGGCCCCCAGGTCGGCCTCCGGGCGAGCTTGCGCGCGTCGCATGGCGGCAGTAGGCATCGCGGGGGTCTGCACCGTACAACGTGGCGCAGCCCGCGACCCTGGGTCGCTGCAGCTAGCGACCGCGCTCGGCTCTGCGTCTGGAGACGCGCCAGGGGCGCTCCGACGCTCCCCCGGCATGCCGCGGAGGCGAGCACCGAGGGAGGCGTCGAGAGCCGAATCCCGAGTGGCGACCCCGCGCGAGCGGTTCGCGTCGTCACGCCTTCCCGCCGCCAAGAGCCCTCTGCCCAAAGCACGGCGAGTAGCGCCGCCAGAGGCCGGGGCATCGGGGCCGGTAACATCGCGCCCAGGCCCGAGGAGGAAGGCTTTGGCGTCACAGAGAGCACGCCATTTCCTGCTGGCCTCGATCGACTTATCGCGGTCGGGATGGCAGGCCCAACCCATCCGTCGAAACTGAGCGTTCACGCGATCAGTGGTCGCACCGCGCTCCAGGTGGAGCAAATCGAGCGCGGCAACAAGTTTGGCGGCACGATCTTGGCGGTGGCGAGTCTGAATCGTGACGGACGGACGACCCAGAAGACCCCCCAACGAAGCTGGAGCCGAGCCGTTCGCCTCCGACAGAAGCGAGACGGGGTGAGCGTCCCCCTTGGGCGTACCAGGTCGAGCAGCGGCGATTGCGTCGCTCTTGGCGCGTGACCTCCGCTCGGGCGCGCCCTCTCCTGGCCCTCCACCGGCGGCACGAACCCCTCCCTGCGGGGCCGCAACAGCATCGCTGGAGGGGCGCATGCCTACCGGCGGGGACGGCGAGGGGTTTGGTACCCGAGGGGCGGCCGGCAGGCTGTCACGGGCGCGAGTGCAGCGCGACGCGGAGAAGCTCACCGCCGCCGCGCTCGAGGGCACCTTGACGGAGACAGGAGCCCCCCTGCGCGGCGCGGCGCTTTCATATGCGTCGCGGGCCTCGGCGGAGGCCGTCGCGTCGCCCCTGTCGACCCGGGCTGGCGCTCCCACGTGGCGATCCTCGGGGTGCCCGAGCGGGCGCCCGCGGCGGGGCTGCGAGCCAGAACTTGCAGCACGAACCGGCCCCACAGACAAGTCGGGCACGCGGAGGCGGCGTCGGCGGCCGCTATCATGTCGAATCGCTCAAAGCGACCCTCGTCTATGTCAAGCAACCAAGCAGGCTCGACACGCGAGGGGGGGCGAACAGGGCGATTGCGCGTGGGGTCGTCCGCTCGGTGGACGTCGGTCGGGACGTAGAGCCCGCCCATGTAGAGCCCGCCCCCCAAAATGTAGGGCAAGCAGGTGCTCAACACGTGCGAAAGGCCAGGGCTGCTGCTCCGACCGTGGGCGGCCGCGCCTAGTGCCACTTGGGAATCCAAGAGAACAGGGATCCGTGAGTCAGGGTTGCGGATGCAACAGTACTTGCACAGACTCTTGAACACGGTGGTCTCCAGGATATTGATGTGGCGGGGCGTGCGGAATTCCCACTTGTAGGCCAAACGGAAACGCAGCGCCTCCGACAGCTCACTGACCCAGCGCGGTGCGATGGGGAGCTCGAGGGAGGGAAGCCCCACCTC